CGTTCGCAGTTTATGATTGTTTACAATGTCTTTCGGAACAATTCGCAATAAAATGCCATTAAAACGTTCTTTGATATTTTGAGTTTTGCCATGTATGCACTTTTTTAATAACTCTGGTTTATGTAGTCAACTCCATATATGTAGGTTTAATTAAATTCAAAATATATGTTGATATACCAGAGGTTTTGGGCTGATTTTTTTCTTTTCTGCAATCGCACATTGATAGTTGCACCAACTTGTTGATTGAGGAGGGCATTGGCTTCGAAGAAGAGCTACAATGGAACAAGCAGCTAGTACAACCTGCTGCATCTCAATTAAGTTTCCAACATTACTTCTAATTGCAATCCCTTATTCTGTAGTTTATCAATGAAAGAACCAATCAGTTTACCTTTCTCTTTCAATCCAGGAGTGGAGTTTTTTATTTTTCGTAGTGCACTACTAACCCTTTTCTGTACATGTCCAATGCATTCCAGTTTCTTGACCGAATCTTTACCATATATATTTTTCACAATTAAAAACCCCTTAGAATCTCCATCCTCATAATACTCCGTGTTCTTCAGCTTTCGTAATTTAAAAGATCATTCAAAAAGCGAATAAACACCAACTGCTTCCATACCCGAAGCTGCTTCTTTATAATTTGCAGAATAATTATGTTACGCTATATATATTATGAACTATATGTCGTGCTGAAGATTGCATTCCATTTTGTTTAGTTTGTTGCAAATGATGCAAAAATGTGACATAGCTTTCAAATCAAGACTGTCAACGCTAATCGACAAAGCAGTAACACATCCATTCAACGTCGAATACTTTCTGCGCCAAACCTAAATACGAAATTACGGGAAAAAACTACCGCCAGATTCTTAAAATGTATTACAAAATATCTAAACTTAGTACGATGGTTCATAATTTACAAAATCTTGATGATAAATAAAGTTTCTAAATAAGTATGTCTATTTAACGCTCACTTCCGGTCCAGAATATTGGAACTTCCGGTTTATTCCGTTACAGAAAAATGCTTATAACTTCAGTTCTAATTAATATATCAACAAGCAAAAACTTGTATTTGATAGCTAAAGATGTATTCTTTAAGATAATGTAATCAAGTAAAAATCGAAATTTTGTCCGAAAATCGTCTTTTGTACGAGGTCGGATAACTTAAGAATAGTGACTACCTAACTACACTAGCCTTGGATTCGGAAATGCATCTGTGTCGACGGAAAAATCAGACATACGATGATCTAGAATTAGTTAAAAATGTGTTATTTATTTTACATATTTATATAAGTGTTTTTAAAAAGTACAGTTTTTAAACAATTGAAAGTTTAATATACATTATAGAAAATAGATATGTGGCAACTTGCCTACTACAACTCAACTCTGCCAGTCTGGTAACCCATAGCAACCAAAAACAAAATAATATTTATTATTCAATTGTTATAATTATTTAAGGATCTGTCTCAGAACATTGTACTACCATAATTGGTGACCCGTATTTATTACGAATAGCAACCTTCAATGTTGCACGAATATTGGAGTTTATATGTCAAAATTCTGAGCAGCAGTAAGTTATCCGGTGTGATGAGATGCAAGTAAAACATCTCATCTATCATTTCAAGCATTGTGCCGCATTCCGGTGAGTCAACATATTTCTGTCATAATTTCAGCGGATATATGTATCGTCTGCTGCATTTGAGCCGCTAATTTCTCTGATTTCAAGTACCAAGAAACTGTGTCACTATATAAATATTGATTATTTTTCTATATATATTATTATTGTGCATATTTGATTGATCTAAAGTGGTTGACAACGATGCTGCTTCGCAATTGGCGCGAGTGGCAGCTAAGCCACTGCCTTTTTGTCGCCGAGACCCATCGTTATGGTTCATTCAATTGGATGCGCAGTTGAATCACATTACTGCCGACGAAACTTAATTTTATACAGCGATCGCCGATGGCTACAGCCCCTGCTAGACGGGACTTTTCTGAAAAGCGAGATTCTGGTACCACTGGTTTAAATGAGAGGATTCCTAGAGAAAAGAGCCCCGCTGGAAGCGAAGTCCCCCCCTAGCTACAGAAAAATGTTGCGGCTACACGGGATAATGAAATAGTAAGTAGTATTTGAAGTGCGACTCTTAGGTTTGGAAAAACATTTTCTCTATAGATCTGTAGCGAAGTTTTAGGTTCCGTTTCTTTTCTACTGCGGAGTGACGCCATGCAGTCACACTCACTGCTCAAAACAATTAGGGGATATTGTGGGTTCGGTATGAAAATAACCATATAATCGATAACCTTTTTGAACAAAAGGAAATAGAAGAGATTAAAAAGAAAAATTATAACGTTTACAAAGTTGGGAATATGCAAATTTAGTCTGTGACGTTGAAAACTATGCGTTTTAGATAAGGAGTAAGGAGCGACCTGCAGTATTTCTTTTGTAATAAGAGATTAAAAACAACTGACATGCGTTGAATGCTTCGTAGCAGTGAATATACGATGTCTCAGCAAGATGACTTAGTTGAATCGGTAGCCAGGAAGGCCATCAGTCGTTTACAGAAGAGTCAAACGCGGCGTCAAAGTCGTTTACAGAAGAGTAGCGGAAGTGTTAGGATTTTCCCAAAATGTCTTCCAGATTATGGAATCGGATTTTGGAAAGTGGATATGTTTGAGAAATTCGGAACAAGGTCGTGTTATCGTTTTAAAATAAAAAAAGGGATATATACGTGCATTTCGTTAAAAAAATACAAATATATCTCTACTTTGGAGAAATAAAGTGGTCAGAAAGAACGTTTTGGTTGATGTACTGCAAACATTTTATTACACATTTTATCAGGCAAATCAAGAAAATAAATAATTAATTATATTACAATACTTATTAATTTTAAATATATTTGCCAGAAATCGATCAAAATAAAAACTGAAATTTTCCGAAAAATCTTGTTTGGAGACCATTTGGCGCCCCTCTACGAGCAGCGCCCGGGGAATCATGCTCCCCCTTGCCCCCCTCGATACGCCACTGTATTCATCGTTCATTCTGTACAAGCCAGAACAGGAAAAAAGTGGACGACACACTAGAATTTCACTTAGGCTTGTACACATATAGTCTCACTTCACTAACTGTACAGCTCCGCCCGAATTTTGAAGGATAACGCCCCTCGAAATTCTTCCCTTCTCCCCTTATCTCCAAAGCACTGGATAGGATTTTCTGCTTGCCCTTATTTTACATGTCCCCGTGCTGCACAGACAGTATATACTTACAAATATCCTTGCCTTTTCAAAGATTTGAACTCAACCCAACGATACAGCAGCCAACATCGCTAACCACTATACTTAACAGGGCGGCACTCTTCTATGGCTGGTTAGCCATTTGCTTTCTTTCACCAAACGAAAAACAAATTAACAAAAGACTCCCACAGGTCCCACGAGCCTCCAGCTCATAACTGGGCACATCCGATCCTAGCGGGCGCAGGACAATACACAGCACTAGGACGGCCAAATTTCAGGGCGGCGAAATGATTATCAAACATATTACATTTCTGTAAAAAAAAAGGAGGCCAATTTTAATTTGCACGTGGGCAGCCGATGGTCTAGGATCGGTACTGACTGCCTACAACTCATAAAATTCCTCTTCCTGAAGAGAATGAATTTTTGTTTTATAATATATTCATATTTCGTCACAAACGGTTCAAATTTTCTCGTGCAGTAAGCTCTTACTAAAATATGTGCAATAAATACAATTATTAGGCTTGTAAAACTAACAAAATATACTCGAACTGTTCATCTAATACTGACCTCTCTGTTTAGAGTTTCATATTTCTTCGTAAACTGCTAACCGAGATCTAATATATAAAGCTACTTTTTAAATAAATTGTTTATTTTTTGTTTTTAACTGCTTTTGCTTTTATTTCATATAAAATCTTGTTGGAATAAAAACCAGTTGTTATGAATCGCGCGGCTTAGAATTTATTTCAGTTTCTTGAAAAATTATACCTCCACTTTCTTGTTTATCACTTTAGTAAAGTAAGCTGGTTTAAAAAAGCATTAATTTTTTTTCGATTTTTGGATTGTTGATAAATTTTTAGGGTTTTCTACTTAATCACTGAACTTCTTTCGAAAAATGCAGACCTGAAAACTCTTGTCTATTTCGTCAGCTTCTCAAAACGACTTGATCTACAATGTTTATTTTGACAAATGTTTATACTGTTCATCGGGATCCGGAGCCCACCGGAGCCTGGTTCCGGTACTTCTTATTAGTTTTAGGGATAAATCCTAATTCTAGCTGGAGAGCACCGGAGCCCAAAATAAGAAGGTTCTGGCACTTCTTTTATGTAACTGAACAAACTTTTGGTTAGATATTTGATCTGAAAAATTTTATTTTTAGTAACAAAATTATAAAAAAAATCATTTGTTAAGTTTTAATTTATCTCTTTACATTTTGTTAAATTTTAATTTTAATTGCTTTAATCATTGATTATTTAATTGTTTTAATAATTAATTATTTAATTATTAATGATTTGATTAGTGATTTTATTTATTTATTTATTTAGTCTTGTTCCCTTTTCTTGACGGTCTTCTATAGGGCTCCGGCACTTCTAATTTTAGAAATTAAGCCCTGATCGGGATCCATTTCACTCACATGATGGAGAGCTGGACTCAAGATGAATGTTTCTTATCGAAACTGACTTATCACCAATGTAATCTTTAAGATACAGCTATTACACAAGCTAAACCTTTATCTCTTTCTCCGTTTATAATTCAGATCAAACATTTAACCTTTGGATCTTTAATTGTATTTGAAATACTGATTGTGTGAACTGTTTTAAAAATTGTACTGTGATTACAAAATAAATGCGATTTATGAAATTTATTTCATTATTCTATCTATCTATGCACAAAGACTTTTATCATTGCCTCTATCAGTTGATATTCATTTCATAATACCACACTAGAGGGCGCTGTACATGTAATGAAAACTGTCAGCAATGTATATAAACAAAGGTTGAGATTAGTTTTCTTTACCGGACAAGTCGAGTTGAATACGCTTTCAATATGAAGTTCGTAATATGTTTATTTGCTCTTGTAGCATGTGTTTATGCTTCTGGCCAGTGGCAAGAAATCTCAAAGAACGATGTTGGGGCAATTAACGCAGCAAACTTCGCAGCTAAATCAATTTCAATGCGTACCAATTCACCCTATCATTCCAAATTAGTTCATGTTCATAAAGTGGAGAGGCAGGTAAGCATTAAAATATAAAATATTCAGCATAAAATATTACATAAATATACGGCATTTATATGTAACCTCACTTTTTAATGCTCTATCTATGTAATTCATTGCATAAATGCAGCATTAAAAAGTGAGACTGCATATAAAAGTTATTCATTGTTATACATTACCATAGTTTTTGTGTAAGAAACCATTATATATGCTGTATTAAATCGGGGGCTATTAAATTTTAACTATTGCACATACCTATAAAGGGATACTTTCTAATATATTCTTGTATACAATAAATTCATTGTTTTGAATATATAATTAGTATGTTATAGGAAATATGACGACTTGTCAATTCTGTTATTAATTAGAAGAAACTAGTAGCATTTCAAATATATCAAGAAAATTTTATGTACACATATTTTAATAAAAAAAATAAAAAACAAATAGGAGAAATGTATATATTGTCCAGAAATGCAGTTTTTTCTTAAAATGATTTGAATTTGGTTAAGGTAGTTGGAGATTACATGATAAATTTTTAATAATGGTGAAGTTTTTTTTTTTTTATTTTACCTTCTGTTACTTGGCTAGTATCTGTATTTCCTTTAAATTTTTACTTTAGTTGAAATTAAGCTTATTATTCCATTCAAGATCAGGGACAGGAGAAAGAAGCACTCCTCTAGGCCAGTGGACTCAGAAAGCATATGCGCACAGGGAATGGGTACCTTTTTTTTGCAGAATTATTTACTTCCTCAATCATTTCCCTCACACTCATATTGTTCTCCTTAACATTTGGCAGTTCAGTATATTACTGTTTGAAAGTCTATGAAAAATCTTCAAATGAATGACCTCAAAAGATAAGAGCACTGTACATATATCTTTCAGCTTTCTTTGTAAAAAAGGGGTATGTGTTATACAGCGAATATACTTAAAAATGATAAAGTTTGAAAATACAGGTGCATGTAACACTATTGAGGAAAGAAAATGGACACTTTAAAAATTGAACAAATTGCTATTAAAACTACATGTTATGTCCAAATAAATTTCATAAATATAATGAATGAATTATTCATATTTATAAAGTCATATTAGTGCCTAGTTATCTACCTTGTGCTATTAGAGAAGTCAAACAACAAGAAGCAGCATTATATTTGTAAATTTTGCAGGTCTAGTTTCATTTGCACTTAAGCAGCTGAGGAGGATGGTTCTGTAGGTAAACCATCAAAACTAGTCCTGCAAAATTTACAAATATGACGATGATTCTTGTTATTTTACTTTTCCAATAATCATTATTTGACATGTTATTTTAACCTAAATTGTCTTGTGCTAGTTTAGCAGTTTTTTTAATGAATACAAAAATTGACTTGGGCATTTTTGTTCCAACAGTACATAAAAAAAAAAAAAAAAAAAAAAAAAAAAATATATATATATATATATATATATATATATATATATATTTTGCTCATAAATATTCAAAATATGTAAAATGCTAAAAAGTTGAATATAACAAAATATAAGATAAATGTAAAAAAATTACTAAATCATATTTAAAAATTTTGAAGCTTATTATATATTTCAAAATGTTCGGGACAAGCCCTACATTGCAAGTGTTACATTCGTAGTTATTTAACTTGCATTTTTATTAAGGAATTTTTTTTGCATACTGCAGATTGTGGAATTTTTTTTTTATACTGTAGATTGTCTTCTTCAGTCCCCTATCAAAATATAAACAAAAACCCAGCACACAATGTAACACAGCCCTTTGTGCAATTGTTTACATGTTCATATTTCCCTGATCCAACAAAACAAAAACAAGAACAACAAATAAATAAAAATTGGAACTGAAGGGCATATTAAAGGTCAAAGCTCTGTGAAAAAACATTAAAAAATGTAAGTTTTCAACCACCGTTTAGTGTTGTTTAAAACTTGAATAAAATATTCCAATTTGAAATCGCACCAGCCATCATAGGCTTGAAGACTCAGAAAGGCTGATCACTTATAGGATATCTTGGCCCACGAAGCGAGAATCATGATCACGGTCCTGAACAGCTTATAACACAGGTTAATTACTTAAATAAAATAGTTAATTTGAAATCATCTTGAACCCTTAAACATTCCTTCTAAACTGTTTTAAATTGCATGTCTTGAGTTGAATGTAATATAATATTACAAATTGAAAATAATTTTTATAAGTTATGAATTTTGATTATTAATTTGATACTTTTGAAGTTTGGAGCAATTAGTGAGATATTTGTTACATTTTATATTTTTACTGTTTCCATGTTCTTTTGCTAATGTACATTAGCAATATTCTTTTATAGATAGTTGCTGGAGTTAATTATAAACTTAAGGTAACCCTTGGATATACATCTTGTAAAAAATCTGAAGTAGAATATGACAACATTGACAAATGTGACATTCAAGAGGTTAGTTAAGTTTTCAACATTTCATTTAATTAAATTTTAAAATTTACTTTCTGTATTCATGTGCTAATTTATTTAATTAAATGAGCAGACATGAATAATTTATTCAAAAAATTCTTATGTGATTTCAAATTATACTTTATGCTTTATTATATGTGTACTTCTTTTATACTGATTAATTTTTTCCTTTATAGAACTCCTACAAAAAGTGTGAAATTAAAGTTTATCGAAACTTGAAGGGTGAACATCAAGTATTACATTTTGAATGTGTTCCTGATAAGAAAAAAAGTGTATGTATATATTTGTTTTTGATAAATATTTTAAATTCTGTATTGTATTGAAAATTTACTTCTGGCAAGAGAACTGTGCATTTTTTAAAAATTTGCTGCATGTTTTTAAATTTTATGTGTGTAATACTCTCACAGCCTTATTATCATACAATTAAGAAATAGGCCACAGTTTTCATAAAGTGCTAAATTTAATATTATTTCAATGTTGATTTCAAATAAAAAGACTCTGGGGATTTTAAGGGATTGTTACTACAAACTTTTGTTGGATTGCCAGAGAAATTTACTTTTAGCAAAGAGAGACACGGATTTTTTCTTGAAATGCACCAGTTATCTTATTTAATTGAAATCAATATGAAAATAAAATAAGTTTATGGAACTACTCTTATATGCGCCCTCAGGTCGGCAAATTTCTCGCCAAGCATTTTTGGCAAGAATCTCCATGCCGCCATATTACTACCTAAATATTTTATCTACATTTCAAATTTTAAGCCTAAAATTTCTCCAAAAATGTGGTTTTCACTCATGCAAAAACCACGTTTTGAGGACACAATTTAAGCTAAAAACCCGAAAGAAAAGCAAAAAATTTAGATAGCAAAAACGTAAAGTTTCTAACCAAAAATATTTGACAAGAATCCATGTATACAGCGATACGTTTTAACTTAGAAAAACATCTACAAATCACACATTCTAGGCAGCGAAGGAATCTCTACGAACTACGCACTCCTCACTTCAATAAATTAGCATAACAACAATAAATTTCAAAGAATACCATGTACACAGCATTCTGTTTAAACTTAAAACATCTACGAATTGCACAATCTAGGCATTGCACATAAATCAACCAAATAAACTAAACTAAATTACAAACAATTCAAAAAAACAACAATAACAACAGAAATTCATACTAAAAAAAACAATGAACATAACAATCTACAAAATAAAACAGTAAAATAAAATGCACTTACCATAACACATTCCTGAATAAAATTTCACCAGTCACACAACGTCTCTGAACAAAAGTGCCACGGTTTTGCTATATCACATGTCTTTCTGAGATTCAAAATTTTGAAAGTAAGGATAAAAACTTGCTCCAAAGTTAACATACTACACAAATACCACAATGCAAATCTTAAACTCTGCTGACAGCTACAAACTTTACCAGCAACCATTTGACTGCAAATCCATACAAGAACTATCAGAAATGCCCTTCTTCGTCTGAGTTCTTAAGTAGCTCTGCATTTCGGACTCTGTTTTAAAAGTTCCGCAGAAATTTCAAAAATACACTTCAATCCTCATAAACACATCCGTGAACAAAAGATTCGTTAACAACTCCAACATCGTACCTTTTAATACTAAATTTACTTTCCACACAATCTAAAATATGCGACTGAAATCTTGCCACTGCGTCTATCATTGCAACATACATTTCAAAACACCCACGGCACGAACTAATGAGCAATTAAACAACTCCAGCAAAAGATTTTTAAACGTCAACAGGGTTGCCATAAAACACTCAATTGTGCCCAAAACCAGCGCAGAACACATATCACCACATTTGGTGAAATTAGGGCGCATATAAGAGTAGAGCCAAGTTTATATATATTTTTAAGTCCTGCAAAGCAAATCATGAAGTATTTATTTTATTTTGTTTTTTCCTTTAGCCATCACATGTTAAAAATGCTCATCATGATTATGCTGAGGAATTGCTCTTTCAGGATTTTATTGCAAGACATAACAAAGCATATAAAGATGATGCTGGTATGTATGACTGATTCTCTATAAATGAAACTTGAATATGACTTAACCCTCTGAGCATTGTAACCAGCTTTATCCAGTCATCAGAAGTTTTGCTACTTGGCATATATTTGCTTTTAATTTAAGATATTTTACTTTCTTTGTTTAAAAATGTAAATATCATCTTAATGAATGTAAGTTTATGAAAGTATGGACTAAAATAAGTAATTATACAAACTCAATTAATAAATGCTGTTTAACTACCTGTTTTCTCGACGGATCTAAAATCCTCTGCCACTCATAGGGTTAAATTAGGCAAAGCAATATCCTTGTGTTTGGCATAGATTTTAGTCAAAACTATCGATTTCAAGGGCAAACAGGTACAGGTTCTGATGAAGAGAGACCTGTACCTGTTTGCCCTTGAAATCAATAAAGGCTTGCCTAAAATCTATACCAAACACAATGTCGTTGCTTTCCCTAATTTTATGTTTCGCGTGTTTCTCTTCTGTCTTAAAAATGATTATTTATATTTTATTTTTAGGTTATAAGAATTCTTAATTTTGATACTTTATTTAAGGGGTCTTTTTTCCTTTTTCAGAGAAACAAAGGAGATTTAAAATTTTTCAGACAAATTTGAAAAAGATTAAATTTTTGAATGATCATGAGCGAGGAACTGCAAGATATGGAATTACAAAGTTTGCAGATTGGACAGGTAAATTTGAAATGATAACCATTAAAAAGAAGAAATTTTTAGAAACTAAAGCATTGAAAGTACTTTTTGGCTGAAATGTAAGAAAAACGTACAATATTTATCTGTGGATTATTTGCATTTTGTTTAAATGTTATTTCAGTATTAATATCAAACTGTGAATTTGTAGCTGCATAGATTTTTGTATTAATTTTTACAGAATTTTATTTCCTTTCAATATATAAAATATATCATAAATTGAAAGGATATATTTAAATGAATTAATAAACTAAATTTTAACATTAGTTATCTGTTTGTACATATCTGTTTTACTTTTTTTCCCGCTCCTTCAACATTTCTCTCTTTTTCATAATATCATTATACATGCTCCTTTTTATATTTGAACATTTGCTCTATATTTTCAACTCATTTGAAACTGTAGTACTTTCAAAGGTATGTATGTGATAAATATTAATCAATAAATTGAAATCTTTGTTTCGTAGACTTATTCCTAATATACTTTGATAACAGTAATATGTAATTATTCTGAAGTTATGCTAATTATGAAATGGAGCATTGACTGTTTATAATGTAAAATGTAGGATATATAATAAAGAAAGATTGTATATCCTCCCTCCCCTAGAATTTGGCTTAACACATTGGTCACCAGTGACAGAAGTCTGGTTTCTTTCAGCATTGCTGTTGACTGGCAAAGTGGACTGATATCTGGGGTACCATTCAGCAATGCTGGTCCATACTCTGTTTATTTCACTATATAAAATGAGTGATGTGGCCCTCCTGCATATTGTTGTTTTTTGGCCAGAGAACATTATTTAAAAGAAACTATTTAAAAGAAACATAATATTTGCTCATTTGTGGAAGAATGCATGTAAAAAATAACTCATTAGGTACAAACATGATTTCACTGATAAGAAAATAGAAAATATCAAGATTATAATTTAACAAACATAATTGTGGAACAAACAGATAAAAAGTAAATCAATAATAATGTGTTTTATTAAAATATGCTTAAAAATAATGTGGCTGAGAAGGATGTTGAGGACAATATGTTGTCACATTTTTGTTTTTATTTTTGGCATACTTTCTCTCATGACTCATAACATTATCTTTATAACAACCATGACATCATTTTCTTGTCATCCTGTTATTCTATTACCTTTGTGACTGGCACTGGTGACTGCAAATCAGAAATCTTTAAACTTTGTTAAAAAATGCACCAAAATAATAAAATACTAGATAGGTTTATTTATCTTCTCAGAATAAGCCTGAAAATCAATAGTAGTTTTTCAACCAATTTGTATAAAATTCTCTCAGAATACGCCTGAAAATCAATAGTAGTTTTTCAACCAATTTGTATAAAATTCTGTGGTGATCAGTGTCTTAAAGAATAGGAACTTTCTGGTTATCTCACCCCCTCCAATATATCGTGAACTCATTGCTGACTTTGGAAAGCATCCACAGACTTGTTGCGGACTTTCCAGAGAAATGGGTTTCTTTCCACAACAGGATATCCCTTGGAAAAATTCAAAGATTTTTGCCAAGCTAATGCTTCAAAAGAAAGAGCCATTTTCTAAATAAATGGTGCTCTAAAAATCATACAAAAAAGCAATCAATAAATAAAATTTAAAAAGCAAAAAAACATTGTTAATAAAACGTTTACCTTTTTCAAGAAATCATTCTTTAATTTTTTTTTTTTTGTAATGTTGTTCTTCCAATGTACGTTGTGATCTGGTTTTGCTGAATTTAATAAAAAAATAAAAAAAAAGGGAGGGTATTGCACACTGGGAAAAAGAGATGTTTGTTATGTGCATTCCTGGATTGTCATATAAATACTTTTTTGCGACATCATGTCTTGCCACACAAATGTTTTGGTGATATGCTGCATTGCCTCATGAATACTTTTTCTTGATTTTTTTGTGTTATTGTGAATAATCAAAAGTACCCCTAAAAATAATACATACACAGTCATAAAATTTTATGTTTACATTAAATAATAGTAATATTCATAATAAAACCTGAACAACTTCTATACTATACTGTGTGAGTTTTTATGGATAGTCATGTTTGGTCATATTGATTGTACCTTGTTTATAAATTGCTGTGCTTTTTATATTTTATGAAAGTCTTACTTTTTTATCTGGCAAATTTTCTGTCTGTTTCTTTTACAGGTAATATGAAAGCATACAGTGGTTTTTTTTTTTTTTTTTTTTAAGGAACAGATAGATATTGGAATACTTTGCATTATTATATCCTTTCATTACCTGATTTTGCAATCTAAAATCTTACAATATCTCAAAATAAAAGTTTTCAGTTAAAATGTATGACAACTTCTTCATTAAGTTCTATCTACAGTTTCAAATCTATGAGCTTATCATTTATTAATTTTTTTATCTGTGGCATTCCAACACCTTCCACAAATCTTCACCCATTAAATCTGTTCCAGAGATATTTCTAATCTTCAAATATATTTTTAATAACTGTTTTATTTTCTATGTTAACTCCAGTACTGTGTAAAATTCAGTAGAAATGTGCTTTGAAGCATCAGTGATGGTAATATCATCATTAGATGTTATAAAAAAATCTGAAATTTCTTTCAGAGTAACATAATTCCATTTTCTTATTCTGTAGTTTTTAATTGTTTCCCTAATAGAATTTAGCAAATAGTTAAAAAAAATCCGAGAAAGATTATCTGTGAAAATCCGTATGTAGATGATTGTAAATGTAAATAAGTTTAATTTTAAAAAAGCTAAAAATTTTCATTTCATTCTTTTTATCCATAAGGAGTAAGTTTAAAGGATGTCTTGAAATACATGCGTCTGTTATGATAATTTCATGCAGCAAGCCAATAATAGTAGTAGATTTTCTTCATTTTAGATACCTGTGTTGATATTATTCATTCACAGTTAATCAAGTTACATATATTCTTTACAAGTTCCTCCAAGAGATAGAAGGTAGAACTGACAAACATGAAAATATTTGTTTCACAAATTAAATATTTAAATTTCATTTTTGTTTTAAAATTATAAAATTTTGTTAGCATCAATTTTACATTTTAAAATATTACTTAGTCTTCTGTTGTTAAAGTGAAAAAAAAAAGTAGAAAAGTTTTAAAATAAATATTTTTTTTTATCTTTAATTATTTTTTCCATAATTTGTTTTAATAAGCTTTTCTTTTAATATCCAAATAATAATTTTGAAAAATACCAAGTACAAGATTAGTCTAGCCTTTTAGTTTAAAAAATAGTTATGTTTCGGTGGTAGGGAAGTTACTTAATTGAGTCTAAATGTTATCTTAAATATGTTCCAGTTAGGATATATTATGATTTTTTTTTTCCAGCAGATCCTTTTAATATATTTAACAGTTGATTTAGTGTTAGATTTTATGAATATATTCATGATTATTATATTTTTATAAAGTTTTTATGAAAATTTTCAATTTTTCTTTTAGATACTGAGTTTAAAAAGCATGCATTAGGTTTTCGACCAGATCTTCTGAAACCTGAAAATGTTGGCAAAACTGCTGAAATTCCTCAAATTTCAATTCCGGATTCATTTGATTGGCGAGATAAAAATGTTGTCAGTGAAGTGAAAGATCAAGGTCAGTGTGGATCATGCTGGGCATTTTCTACTACAGGAAATATTGAAGGACAGTGGGCAATAAAGGAAAAGGCATTGATTTCACTTTCAGAACAAGGTAGTAAAATTTCCTATAATTTGTGTTCTGTATTTATATTTCAAAATTATTTAATAAATTGCTTAAATTTTATTTAAAAATTATTTAATAATTGCTTATTTAATAAATTATTCTAGTAAGAAATCGATTTAACTTGATCCTTTGATAGAATTTTACTTTCTTGCAAGCTCCATTGAAAATTGCTGGAATATTTTTTCTCTCTGATTTGGATGATATTTTCAAAAAAATTAGGTGATGGAAACATTCTATTAAAGTATATCCAGCTTTGAAATGCAAGCGCCTTCACATAATTAAAATTTGTAATATTTATTTTATGTACTCTATTTTAAAACCTATTTTCAAATATTATCAAAATTAAAGTGAATGAAAATATAGAGCACTGTTTTCAATTTTAGGTAATGAACCTATTTTCAAAATTTGTATGAATTAAGAGAAATATTTTTAGTGAAAATTAATAAAAAGCGTAGAATTTGCCGTATAAGTTGACCAGTTTTTCAAAAATAATATTTCTATGAATTTTGATAGAATAGAAGTAAAATACTCCAGTAACACACCAGAATTTTTGGAAAATTTTAATTCTAATGTTTAAAATAGTGTTGGTGTAGTCTTTGTTTTTTATTCTTATATATGAAAGGCAAGGCAAATAAAATTGATTATTTATTTTTCCCTTGAGGTCCAAAATTTTAAAGAGTGTTTTGGGCATTTTTGTGAACATGGATATGAGCCAGTTTCCCTTAGAAAGGCCTTTCTTAATGGCATTCCTTCTCTTAGGGAAATAGCCCTCGAGTGTTTTGCCGTAATCAAATAAACCAAACTTACAAATCCCTTTTAAAGAGAAAATGAATAGAAAACCACACCAAGTTCAGTAGAAAATACAGTATTTTCTTTTCATTATCTCTGATGATTTTTGACTGAAATGCTTAGACACGTGTATGTCTACATTATGTATTTCTTTAAAATTCTTTGGAAATTATTGACAATGAAGGCAGTAATTCAGTTCAGGATTTATCTTATTATTATTTTTTATTATTATTTAAAGACTGTGAAATGAGATTTCTCTGTTCATTATTACACTGTATGTGTGAGAATATTTCTTCTTTGAGTTGTGAATTGCTAAATTTTTTTCTCTAATGTTAATATGTTTAAATAAAGTCTAATTAAAATGATGCATCATTTCTCAGAGCTAGTTGACTGTGATAAAATAGATGAAGGATGTAATGGTGGGTTGCCGAGTAATGCATATAAAGAAATTATGAGACTTGGTGAGTTATTTGTTTTTATATTACACTTCATCATTCATCAAATATCACATATTGTGCTATTTGTTATTAATGTGTATCATTAATATATCAGATATCAACTCAAAATTGAGTAACAGCTTCCTGCCTCATTTTTATTAAAAACATTTAATCTTAGTTATTTTTCTATTTTATTTTATTGTTTTTATCTTTTAATGTACTTTTGTAAAAGAGTGAAAGATTTTATGGTACTTCCTTATTGTCGTGGTCCTCAAGACTGAATAAGCTAATCAACCGAGATATCTCACCATGTGTTCCTATATCTTGCATTAGGTTACATCTTGGTTGGTTAGCGATTAAATTTTGAGGGCTGCTGTAATAAGAGAAGCACCGATTTTAATTTACAAAATTAGTTATGAGTTTTAAATTTGCTATTTATTTTTCATTGTTATTTGATTAATCTAACATAATATTTTTATGAAGAGCATTTAAATATTTATTAATAAAAAATTATCATTGGTCACATGTAGTTTATTTATTAAAATACTGAAAATATGCTGTATTTATTTTTTTTTCCTGTGATACTAATTAAATTAAAGTTTTGTTTTTGAATAAATTTTAGAAATTTATTTATTTATTTATTTATTTATTTATTTTAAGTTTGAAGATTTTTTATGGGGAAATGGTCATATACAACTTTTCTCTGAAGAGAGATATTTAAATATGAAATATTTTCTTAATAATTTGCAGCAGATGCATAAAAATCATTGGCCTGGTTGCCTGTAGCTTTCTGTATGTTATCTGAGAGCAGATTAATTTCATATGAAAAATTCACCATATATACATTTTTCATAAGATAGTCCTGAAGTAATTTTATCATAATAAGTAATTTAACGTATAGTACTTTAACAATCAAAGTTTATATATGAAGGAACAGTGTTGTTTTTTGTGTGTCACTTTTTTAAGCAATGCTCATAAATACTAAGGCTTTTATGAATCCTGATATTTACAAAAGAATATAATAAAGTAGCTATGCTATTGAATGATATTAAGATCATGAATTAGCCATAAATTTGTTATTATGTTGAAGAGAAAAATCTCTTTTTGATTTTTAAAAACAAAAGTAAAGTTTTAAAAATAAAAGCAAGTAAGGTAGTACTTTTAAAAGTAAAGTAAAATGCTAGTCCTGTCCTATTCTAGTAAAATGCTTTGTTTGTAGTACAATAATTTATGTAGAAGTATTTTTATATTTAAAAAATTTTTGAAATTAAATAATTTTTTCCTTTTTGTATATTAAAAATACTTATATAACATATGTTTTAATTCAAGAATAGTTATAATGTAAATCATTCATTACATTATCTAAACTGCTAATTTTGATGTATATTTAGGAGGTCTGGAAAGAGAAAAAGATTATCCATATGAAGGAGAAAATGATAAATGTGAATTCGTGAAATCAAAAGCAAAAGTGTACATAAATGGATCTGTTACGATATCACAAAATGAAACAGGTGAGTTCAAGTTAATTATTTCATTTAAATTCATTAAAACTTACATATATTATTAATTAACTTCTTTTATTTGTGCAAAGTTATTTTCTGATTACATAAGACATGAGTTCTATTCTAGGTAAATGATTTAAAGCTTTTAATCCACACTGTTTTTTTAATAATTTAATAATAGACATAAATCTTTCTAAATAGTGAAATACAAATTTTGAAGCAAGTTGATAGCAGTCCACTTTCAATTTAAATTTTAAAAATTGCTCTTATTTCATATTTTTGTTCGCAAACAAAAAGTTATAAAATAAAATATCACTGCAGGCAAAAATTCTGCATTTAATAGGCTGATTACTGAATTAAAAAATGTAATAATGTTCATATTAACTCAGATAACATGATAAAAAATATTTTATTACAATGTTTATATTGTATTTCTTTTAATTTTTTTATGTAATTGCTGTGCTATAAGAGTTTATTTTTGAAATTTTTAAGCTCAACCTCTATTCTTTGATTAAAAAAAAGTCTTAATGCGAGTTTCTGTGTCCTTAAAGTATATCTATATATAATACATTTTTTTAATGGAACAAAAAAAGTAATATCAAAGTTTAATGTGAAATTAATGAAAAATTGGGGTCAAAGGATCTTACCTGAATTGCAATAACATTAAGTTTTAAAATTTTAAAATGTATTAATTTTTAAAGAGGCCAATTATCACCATTTTTTTTTGTCAATTTTTAAATATTTTTTAGTTAAATGGCAAGATTTTAGGCAACTCAAAATTGTTTTTAGCTAAGAAATATGGCCGCAAACCTACTGTTAGGAAAGTAGAAAATACAGCAAGATTATTAGATGTAGTAATACCAAGTTAAGTAGCTAGATGCAACCACTTAACCATCATATTTTGTGGAATAATACATTTTCAAAAGATACAAAAACAATGATGAAAGGTAATCTACACTGCATGTTCACATTTGTACAAACATAAAATGTTATACCTGTTATTCCAAAATGGAATATTATATAATTTTAAAATTATGAATTATAAAATTAAGAAATAATCAGTATCACTGATTTTATGACCTTCTTGAGATAAAATGTTTTTAACTCATTATGATATCTATAAGATTAAAATTTTTTTTTTTTAAATTTTTGGTGTGATCACTTCCCCTCTTTATCTGACTTTCATAAATTTATCAAAGCATATTAACTATTATTGTACGCATTAGCCTTCTTATTCAAAATACAATAAACCCTGCTATGACTACTTCTGAAAGTGACCAGACCTATGAACATATAAGTAAACACTAGTATGAAATTTCATATCTCTAAAATAACCACTACCATTGCCTGTGTGTGTTCATCTTAGAGAGGATTATAACTTTTCTTCATACTTAGTTCTATTGGTACTTTCCATTTTGCTGGAGCAAATCTCGCCAAGCAGACTTTAATGGCAATAACATTCAATATACATAAAAAAAAAAAAAAAAAAAAAAAAAGTTAGTTAACCAATGTTAGTTGTAAGAATTTTTTATTTTGAAGGCATAAACATTTTAATATCGTTTAAAATTTTGTAAAAAGCCAATACATAAAGACAATAAATTTGTAAAAAGGTGTTAATTTAAGAATTTACTATGCTTTAATGGTTCAACATCCTGATTCATCGGTTCATATCACTTGACCCCAAGTGATCTCATCTCACGTTAAACTATGCTACAAAAATCTAATTCTCTCAGTAATTAGCTACATTAATTTCAAGTTAAATCTTAATTTGGAATTAAGTTTAAATGCAAGAATTATTTCAATTCGTATGAAAAGCTTACTCAGAATTATGTAAACCGCATGCTTACTTCCTAGTGCATTCTCATTATAATTGATGAATTTAACCCTTGACTTTTCTGTATTTTCGCCTTCAGATGAGTGGTGTGATTGCATCCTAATTGACTGAATTACCGCGAATGGCCTTAGGACATTGGGAAAAATTCTGTGTAATTGTATGCCATTATTGAAAGAAACAATCAATCTGATAAGAAATGTCTGCAACTTATTTTGAAAGTGAGGTGTAAAAGGTTACCAGCAAGGATATTCTGTTTGGCATCAATTGTACCATTACTGGCGACTTTATCACCTGCGCCAGCAAAACGGAAAAGTACTGTCCTATTCAGTAGAAACCATGGCACATCACTGCTATGAATAAAATTATCTGAAACTGTTGGAAGAGGATTTTATACTTGAATCACCATGTCATCTAATTATTGAGTCATTGAGGATGACTTTATACCAGGGATTCCTAGTGGGGTTAATATTGATTCCCTGGGGATTACTCAAGTTTTAAAGAGGGCCAATTATGATCAAGGGTTTGATAGCATGTGCAGTTGATCAACATAATCAAGATCCAACTGAGTTAAAAAATTAGTAATAAAATTAATAATCAATTTTTTATTGATATAAATCTGCATCATAAAGTAAAAAAAAATCATGTAAAATGAATATAATATAATTTTAAAATATTATATAAATCACAAAAATATATAGTTTTTTTATAATAATATAATTGTTTACATCAACAATATGTTCTAAATGCATAAATTTTTTATGCGTATGTGCATATAATGCATCTATGCTTATAAAAATATAAATGCAAGGAAACAAGAAAATACACCAAATAAACAGGAAAAATGCAAAACTTCCTGAAAAGATATATATAGGTCACTTGTAAAATATAAAAGATTTTAATGTGAACTTTCAAGAATTTGAATATTTCAATGTGCCAGAACAGCTCTTAGAACAGCTGAACTGCTATATATCTGATCTTGGTATGCAAGGAGAGCTGATTGTATTGATAGAGGATGTTCAAGCACAAGTCTTATTCAAAACTGTGGGTGCACTACGTTTTGAATTTAAAAGCCATCCAAGAGAAATATTCCAAAATAAAAGTTGTTACCAAACCAACATTATTGATTTTCTCTCTGCTTACCTAGTGGAAGCAGGCTATAGTCAAATCAATAATTTACTATAAAAAACATTAAAGAAGCTGGATATTTTTGAAGAACTGTTTTAAGAATTAAGGAATTTTATATGAAGTATTAAAAAAATTGCATCAATTCGTCAAGTGCAGCCATCACATTATTAAAATGGAATTTTTGTACAATTAGAATTTGTACTTGTGTTTCTGAAAACTTGTTTATGTTTGTAAATTAAAAAAAAAATAATACTGCAGAAAGTAGTAAAACATAAATCTAATAAACCTTCCTTTTTTTTTCAAAATGTTTGTTCTGATTCTTAGTCTAATTATCCCGCTTTATGTGCAACTATTTGTATTATTATTATGTTGTGTGCTGTATGTATAAAGAAAAGGTTAAGGAGATCAGGGAAGAAAAACCATTCTTTTAAAATGTGTTATTACAAACCAGAGTTGAGAATCCCTGCTTTATTTTTTAAGAAACCTGAGCGTTTAGCCAAAATTTCTTGAAATATTTACTGAAGGAAGAACTGAGCTAGATTTATAAAAATTATCTGTAAATGTTATCGAATGATTCCCCCCACATAGATATTAATTGTCATGATTACTTCATGTGGGTTTATATTAAAGACAGGATTTACATGAATGCCTGAAACTTATTTGAGGAAACAGCACTGGAATTGCTTGCATAATTGAAGCAACAAATTTAAAAAATACTCATATTATTAGCAAGCTTAACACGCTGTGTGTGGCGCCGGTCCCTGGGGACCGGCAGTGAACTTTCCGTGTGACCGCCGTCTGTCCCCGGGGACCGGCACTGGAATTTTCGTTTGGACAGTATTAAAGTTAAAAAATAAATATAGTTTTAATGAAATGTGATCAAATTTAGTTTTAATGAAATGTATTGAAACATTCTAAACAAAAATACGGCTTAGCTCACTGCCGGCTGAACGGCAAAGACAGCAAATTCGGCACCGTGCTCAACGTGTTAAAAATTTAACTCTGGTCTGCTGAAACAGCTGAAGGCAAATGTTTTAAACATTGTTTTTTAAATTTAATTTATTTAACTAATTAAAATTATATGAATTAAATTACCTTTTTTAGCACTAAGAAATTGCACTTTTACTTTCTTTCATGTTACTTAGGCCACTTGTGGAATATTTACTCATATAATAAGTAAACAAAACTTTTTATCTCTGTTTATATTAAGTTCATCCTGTAATATTATTGGAGTTCATAAATTTTGCCATCTTCAATTGACTTTGCATATTTTTAAACACCATGGAACAGGAAATGCAGTGTGTCAATTAAAAAAATTTTTATTTTACACTGCTTTCAAAAGGACATGAAAATATTATTCTGCTAGACCGACTGGGGTTGCTTGGTCTTCTAAATAGGATAATTATAATTAACCTTTCTTTAAAACTTATTGTTCTTTTTAAGGGGCCTTTATAGATTTATAATAACGATCAAAATTTATTATAGTGAGAAATATCAAAAGAAAAATTCATTTTTATACTTCAATATTATTATTTTTTAATTCAATAGAAATCCAATGAATGGTTTTTGCATTAAATTTGTCATGGTTGTGAAAATGTAATGCTGATTATTATGCATTAACAATTACTTGAAAATTCCTCTTAGGTTTGTTTTTCTGTCATAGGAATAAAAATTTATACTTCCTCTCACTCATTTGGTCATTTTTGCACTCATTCACTCACTTGTTCACTTGCACACATATATACACATAATGACAATTTGGATGTGAATAATGTAGAATGTAATATAGCTATTCCATAACAATATACTTGTAGTTAGTTATATTCAGATCAACAAATGGGTAAATTGGTGCTGTCTGTACATCTGTTCTTAAACAACTACTTTTGACTTTTTCCCATTTTTATAATAAATTTGAATAAGAAAGGTGATAAGGTACATATTAGCAGTACAACCAAGAGCATGGATGCTAGTGAAGTTCTATTTTACTGGTTAATTAAGGTTTTTATTTGGAAAATTTAACACAGTTATTGGCTAACATTAGAAATGATGCATATAATAATAATTAAGATATTTCAGCAAGATATTAAAAATTTTATGACAGGCAGTCTGTAAGCTAAGCTAGCAGTGAAATGTTCACAGTACAAAACATTGCTTTTCCCTAAGCTGGTTTTCTCTGAGGTTTCTCCTTTCTTGTTAATTTATTATTATACCTTGTTCCATATTACTTATCATGCAATCATTGCAGAGAATGCCTTGAGAGGGTAGCCATCCATTAACTTCTCCCTTTAACTTCTTAACTGCTAGGTGAAAGTATATTGACAACTTTCACCTTTTAAAGTTTCTAATTTTAAAGTTGTCACCTATAAAATTAGGCAAAATTTAAACTTTTGATGATATTGGTTTTAACAAAAACTGTATAAATTCCCAGCAGAATTGCTATTAAAATGCAAAATCATTTCAAATCTATTATGGATCTATGCATATCCATAATTCTAAATGTATTATGGATCTATGCATATCCATAATTCTAAATGTATTATGGATCAATTCAATCAACCACAAAATAAATTCTTTAAAATACTGAATAAAAATATGTATCCACTTGCTTTCAAAAGAGATTTTAGTAAAGAATTGTTGGTTATTCACCATGTAATGGCCATGTGAAAGATTATTACTAATTGTATTTCTTTTGTAAAGTAACCTTTCTGGTAAAGTATCCATTTTTTATTGACATATTATAAATTTCATTACTTATAATCCATTCCATTTTAAAAGAATATAGTACTCGTCTCATATTAAACTAACTGGTTAATAAGCTCAGTTGCTTGTTACATTAAAATTTCCTGGAACCAAAGCAAATACATACTAATCAATACAAAAACTGCCATTTATTAAATTAATCTCTTCATTTTATAAAACTGAAACTGGCAAAAGACTGAGCATACAGATCTATAATAAATTGTTTGTAGCTGATAAAAACCTGTTTGTAGTTCATTTTTATCTTTCAGTAATGTAGTGCTTCAATAAAATGGGTTAAGCAGAAATTTCATCCAGTGTAGTTAGAACCAAGACCCTCTGATGCTGTTAGGTACCCTTTTCTGTACTTACTGTGCTAGTCCCTTTCAAACTCTGTTTCTAAATCTGTTTGTCTGGACTTAAGCTGAGAGCAGCAGAACATCTTTATCTTATGATTAACAGAAGCAATCCTCTAGAGGCATTGGAAGCAAATTCTTTGATCATAAATGAGTGAGTATTTCCCAGGATTAAGGTGCTTATGTGAGCTCTGATTCCCTTTCTTGAATACCAGCTGATAAAGGATGGAAGTGCATACATAACACAAAAAATTGCAGGATGTTCTCAGTACCCACCATAAAATGCTTCCTTGGAACGCAGTGCGAGATTTCACGTGCTATATGAGCATTGGCTCCATCTTGCTGAAACCAGTGTGCAGGATTATTCATCACAGGCAGTCTTAGAAAGTCCCTGATTTTGTTCTAGTGCTGCTCCCTTGTTACTGTTATGACATCACCTTCAAAGAAACAGACTGATGATCTGTTCTGAGGTTACACCACACTGTACACTTTTTTATTGAATGCAAATTATGTTGACACATGACCTTGGGGTTTTCCTGTGCCCATATTTAAAAGTTTTGCATTCACAGTCCCATTTAAGTGGAAATGAGCTTCATCACTCATTATCAGATTCTGAAGAAAGTCTTGTTGTTCTGTCCCCATGTCTTGGAAGCAAACAGTGTACCTGAGATTGGCTTGTGTATCTGTAGTACTCTCTGTACTTTGTGCACAAAAAAATTTCATCTCTCTTGTTAAAATTCATTGTGACTTTTGATTCATCTCAAGCTGAGATGTACGTTTTTGGGTTGATATCTTGGAGTTATCATTAATACTGCCCCTCACTCCTTGAATATTTTTAGGAGTTTGAATTAAGTGTCGTCTACCCTTTCCTGGGCAATTGCAGACTGAATAATGTTGCCGAAAGCATGTTACCGTATGGAGAATTATAGTTTAATGAGGAAAGTTGCATACGTTGAAGTGCTTATGGTATGCTTTTTGACTAAGAATAATAGATCTTTATTTTTTTTTTTTAAATAAAGTTCTATCAGTTACATGCACTGTTAAGACTCAATCTCTCTATGTTGTGCCTTCCAAATGTACTTCACAGTTCTGACAAAGAAAAAATTAAATAAACAAATTACAACAACTCCTTTCCCCGAAAAAAAGAGGCATTGTAACCCATGTGTGTCTTCTGTGCCACCTGTTATCAAACTTAATTGTAATTATATAATTGTAAAGTTGTTCTGTTATATATCAAGTAACAAATTTTTTTTTTTTTTTTTTTTTTTTTGATCTTTGTAATTATCTTGAGTCTTTATATTTAATCCTAAAATTATCATACACTCATTTGCATATATATATATACACCTGAATATATACATAATATATTTTTTACATATTTCTTTTCTAGAGATGGCTCAATGGCTAGTGAAAAATGGTCCTATTTCCATTGGTATTAATGCAAATGCAATGCAGGTGAGTATTATATAGTTAAATTTTTTGTTTTGTTATGTTTTCATTCTAAATATAGATTTTTTACATTTAATTTTGAATTTCAAAATAATTCTAAAACTTAGTCTAATCTTTTCTGTAGTTTTATTATGGTGGTATTTCACATCCATGGAAATTCTTATGTGATCCTTCTAATTTGGACCATGGAGTATTAATTGTTGGTTATGGTGTTCACAGTAAGTTAATTATTTATTAATATTGCTATATTTTATTTTTTGATACACTGTGCAAAAGAAAAAGGGGACAGTTTTATATCTGCCATTCTATTGGGCCGATTTACGAAATTCAAATTTCGTTTTTCATGTCTCGAAAGCGTGACTTAGGATATATATTAGATTTATATACAGCATTGATCTAACACAGGTATTTTGACACAAAATCCAACTTTTCCTAAAAATGACATGCCAATTTTTTCAATTTTTTGATTCTATGACTCAAATTATGCCTAAATATTAAATTTTGTAAAATTTGGTGTGGAATTTACAGAAAAATTCAAAAACTTATCTTGGAGCACTTTTTTTTCATATTGCACGAAGAATGATTCACATGGCAAACTTCTTAATTTATAGCAACCTATTTTTTCTTTTCCATTTTTTCATTGTAGACGAGCAGAAAAAAGTCATCGTTCATGCTTTCAAATAATTTTAGCAAAGTGCGTAAACCACATTTGGCATTGTTATCGCTTGTAACAAATATGCCAAAGAAAATTTTCAATAAAAAAACTCTAAATTTTTTCTGATGTGCTAGAAATACATCTACACTCCAGATCTTATGAAACCATACACAATCCACTGTAAAGCTAGTTCCTAGTTCCGGTGTAAAGCTGCTTGTTTGCCTCAAAGAGGCAGCATACTTACAATTGGCAAAGCTGATAGGGTGTAACTTACACAATTCAATCAAAAATTCTCAAAGTTCCAGCAGGACTGATGGAAAATTAAACGTAACGCTTATGTCATTGTGTGATCATTAAAGAAATTAAAGTGTTGAGTATTTGGATCAATTATTGAACTAATTACTGATCATAACTCACTTTTATGTGATCAAAATTCCACACTGCATTCTGTCAAATTACAGCAATGATTAGTGGCACTCTAGTATTATAATAACCAGATTTTGCATTCCCCTGGAGCATAATTAAAAAATAGTGTTAGTAGATTGGTTGCTGAATGAACTGCATATCGGCATATACAGCCATAACTTTACAACACTTAAAATTTTTTTATTTCGGTATTGTATGAGAGCTTCTTTTCATCTGTTTTGAAAATTTAATGTTCAGCATATAATGTATTTATTATTAATTTTTTTATGTTATTATATTTTCTGAATATGTACTAGTGTGCAAAACTTTAGCAGCAAATTCCTTTTCAACATACAACTGTGAAATGTTTAAAAACTGTGAAATGGTTTCAGCACAATGAAAAGCCAACTTAGTAGAAATGTGATGCATATTCAAATATTAGCACCATGGTGTCAGACCATGCAGGATGTGAGGAGTCGGTGCACAGTGTGTAAGGCAATTTAAAAAGAAGAAAGGAAGGTGCATTTCCAGGCATTCTTCTGCAAATGAAAGTGAGATTGTATGGGCAGTTTGGCTACAAGAAAACTTCACAATGCCTTTACACTTGGTGGAATTATTAGCAAACTTAAGGTGAGGCATAGTTTGTTGCCCACGAATTTGGAGTTGATAAAAGTGTTGTTGCACAAAATTGGAGAGGCATCCAAATGACAAGTACAGTTGTAAAGGTTGAAATGTTGCTGGTAGTCAGCCAAAGAAAACAGCGGTGACTGATATATCAGCTAGTTAAGAAGATCAAAACAGCAATTGACAACTGAAGAGTGGGAAAGAGTGGGAAGTCAATAGCTTGAAAGATGGCTCTATAATCTGATAAGAAGGCCACCTTTGAAAAATGCTCTGGATAAGTCTGTAGTTGCACAATAAAAGGATGGCTGCAATTTCACCTTTTAAGAGATTAGCCAACGGGTGTGTGTAAAGAAAATAAATCACAATAAACACCTGCGCCATCATTAGTGATATCTCCCATTCTGGTGGAACCATCAGTGTACACTCACAACCAGTCTCCTTCCAGGTAGTAAGAATTTATAGTTTCGTATGCCAAAGCTTTGAGCACATTTTCATAAGTCTCAATTTTGAACATCTCTTGTACGAGGCAGATGGAGAAACCCTTGTTTTTCAGTAAGGCTACAAGATAATAAGAAATGTTCAACCACAAAATTTAGGCTCAAACTTGAAATCATTTCATAAACTCCTTGGATAAAACCACTTTGTGTCTTTAGATTCCACTCATGCACAAAGGAAACTTGATCCCAAAGGGATAGGCATCCCTGGTTTCTGATAATTTTCTCCCAAATAAGTGCAATACTTTCCCAGATAGTCACAGTAATAGGTCTATTATTAGTATATAATTGCATGCAATCAGTATTAGTTGTTTTCACTGCACCTGTTATTAAACGCAGTGAATGATTCTGGAATGTCTCTAAATTGAGAATTTGCTTAGAGGAAGTGAATAATGGTTCACAACAATAGTAAAAATTCACAGTGGTAGATTAGGTAAAATATAGGCATTATAAGTTGTGTTTAGAGTAGTTTTTGAGTAACTCCACTTGGAACTTATCTTTAAGAGCGAAATCTCTTAATCTTTAAGAGTTAGAATCATTAAGAGAGAGACTCTTCTTGAAGCTCGAAGTATCCTGTACATATGATTAAGAAAATTTTCTTAAAAATAAAAATAAAAAAAGGTTTACACCGAAAATATTTGAAATTTTCAGTAGTTGAGATTAAACATCCTTCATGAAAAGTCGTGAAAGGAAGGAGTGGTGGGTCAGGGAGAAAGATTCAACATTCTTACCAAAGTTTGCTTTCATGTTTAATTGGGTCCAGTTTTCTATGATTAGTAACGCTTTATTCAGAACAGAATTGATACAGTGCTCTGCAGTGTTTTTGGAGGACACTCTCTAGGTGACCAGGTCTTTAGAAACTTCAGTGCAAATTTAAAAATTAGGATCCTAATATAACATTTGGTATAATCATTGTGAAGTTACCAGATGTGTTTAATTAAAAATGAAGATGCATGTAAGGATAGCTTTAATTTACAATAGGATATTTGTAAAAGTATGGTCTTAAAGTTGAGAAATGAAATACTTATTGTTATCTTTCAAGTTCTTATTCTAGAATTTTATTCCCCAAGATGTTGCTTTAAGAACTAAAATACTTAATATTTTGCGATAACTATAAAAATTGTTTATTCTAATCTTTAGTTAAATAGTAGCTTTACCATTTTATAATATTGCAGTATATGAGTAAATTTGTCTGAGCTACTGGTTCTCAACTTATTTTGCCCCATGCACCTCTTTCCTCATCGCTAGAAGATCATTTCTCTACCCTTCTTTTCTGAAATTTGAAATATACATGAACATTTATTTAAGTAATTTTTTAATGTGTTTTATAAATTAAACAACAAAAAGTATAGAGAATGTTGATAATTACTAAAACTTGAATAAAAGTTTTTTTTTTTTTTTTTTTTTTTTACATTCATTAACTAAAACTAAAATACTTAACAGCTAAATAATACAAAGTTGACTGCATTTTGTTCTGAAACTAAGAAATTCTTCCCGTGGTTGATAACCCCTGTCTTAGCCATATATTGTTAAGCTTTAGGGAATTCCACAATGATATTTTTCATTTCCACATGCACACAAAATAAATAAATTCTCAGATTTTTCATCGAAACATTATACTTGATCATTTAATCAAAGCCGAAAAGCTTGTTTTGGATGTAATAAAATAAAATAGTGATAACATATATAAAGAGACATGTTTTTGAGAATCAAGTATCAGACTTAAATATTCAATTACTTATAATAATAATTAAAATACTTTTTTATTGATAAAAAACATGCCCTTTTATTCATGTGGGCTTTTCTTTGATGTGTGTTGCCTTTTATCCACATGGGTATTTGTTGCATGGACAATTATCACAGTGGGCTTCTGTTTGTGGTCTTAAGTTATATACACTTTCATCCATTGGGCTTTTATACGGTCACCATGATTGGATTATTTGTATGTAATGGAAAATGAGTGTATTATCATTATTTTCACTAGAGCTTTTTTTTAAATAAATTTATGAGGTCACGTGCTGATTCATTTGTCAGATTTTGCTTAGCTATGCAAACTAAGCTAGGGGGTTGTCATGTATCCTTCTAGCTTCAGCCAATCAGCTTCCTCCTCACTGCTAGGAGAGACCTAGGTAAGGTGGAAGCATGAGAATTTAAATAGCTTGGGCTTAGTCTTAGTTAACTTTTATAGCGAATTAATATAATATCAGAGTAGGCTATTTTAAAATGTACATAAAAACTGCAAATAGGGAATAATAGTATGAAAAGGATTTATCAAGCGTGCAACTCGATGTCTTCTCATGATGTTACAGAATATTTGAAATGGAGTTAATGATTTTTCATTGGATGTTTGACATTTAAGCTAAAGTATAAAACTTTTGCTGAAACAAACAGTTTGCTGAAATAGTTTTGTATGTATAGCAGTGTGAAATACAAAACTGAAAGTAGATGATCTTGTATATAGGATGACATGTGAAATAATTATCAATGATCTTTTCCAGAATATCAATATGGAGATTGCTAAAAACATTAATAATGGTTATTTTGTGTTCTTAAGGAATTTTGAAAATTTTAATACAATCCTGAAGGAAGAAAAATCTAGTGGACCCAAGCCAGGGGCTATAGAGGCTACTAGATGCCATTAGGACAGTGACTTGGATAGCTTAAAGCTGTTTTTATCCCAAATTTCAAGTAAATTTAATCAAAACAGTTTGTGTTCTGTGACAGGGCACTCCATCATAATGGAACCAATAATCTCAAATTATGATTAATTAGATTAAACATGTTAGGATTAGACTAGAAGAGAAACACGCTAATGTGACAATCAAAATCATAAAAACAACCTTGTATTTTAGCGTAAGTATATTGAAACACTCAGTCGATTTCGAGGCAGCTAAGGTCCCTCCTCATCAGAAAATACCTAGAAAGAAGAAAAATAAGGGGAAGGAGTCTCAGAAACCATGGTCCTTATCAGCACTGCACGTGGTTATAACCGATTTTATCAGAGTTACACTGGCCGCCTACTTTTACTGAGCCAGGCTATCTGATCAAACATGTAACACAAAGGACAAGAAAATTAGCGAAGTTAAAAATAGGGAGAGGGGCAACTGCACCTTCACGCTCAAATCTGAACTTCGAATAATGGAAAGCTTAGACTCTATACTTGACCGAGCTATTGTGAAGAGCAATATTGCCGGTTGCAGAATTAAAGCCCAGGCACTTGACTAAAGAAATCCGGACTGGAGAAAACTCATGTAGAAACGGATTAAGGGGAAGAAGAGAAGTACCAAAAGGAGCAAGACAATCCAATCGGACAAGTTCGCAAAACGTGACGAGCGATCGTAACTTTTAAGGAGGACCCAAGACAATGTAAATCAATGACAACAATATGAGAAGATACACTACAGCAATAGTTCCAATGACAAATTCAAATACAATTAAACAACTTCAATCAGTAGTGCGAAATACAACACAATACAAAACAACTATACAACACAATTTAAATACTACTATTCAACACAATACACTATAGCAATTCAACAACAACCTAAGCAAATCTCACAGCATTAGTATTATCAAACTCCAAGAATAATATTCAAGCTACAGAAGAACTTCAATCAAAATCAGATGCATTGGAAGTATAAACAGCTACCAACTGAGGATCTAAGTGAAAAAGTTGTCGTCTCCTGCCATGAAGGTGTGAGCTGCAAGTGGTCTGACGCTTCTATCTTCGAAGAGAATTTCATAATTAAAGACTTGGGAGTAATTAACAAAGTCACATTGCACAGCTTTGTTGAAGAATTTTTCATTAGATCTTCTGATGTAATCTGGAATCGTCTCAAGTTTTAAGTCTCTATGTACAAGTTTATTACGGATAAGATAGTGTGAATCAGGTAAAATAATGCGCAGAAATTTGTTTTGCACTACTTGTAAATGATGCAAGTTGAGTTTGAGTGACCGTGTTCCAAGCAGGAGCAGCATAACAAAGTATCAGGTCGAATGCAAGTGTGGTATATATATGTTTTTTGGTACGCAATCTAAGATTTGAAATTTTCCAATGACAGGGAGAAATCTGCATATTATGCCCATGGCTTTGCTCTTGACACTATTAATGTGGTTAGACCATGTTTGAGCCTTTGGTTCAAAATAATTCCTAAGTATTTGGCCTTTGTGACCAGAGGAACAGCTTCCTGAAAAACGGTAGAGATCTTTAAAAACAATGTTTTTCTTAGTTTTGCTAAGAATTAAAAGTTGTGACTTGCTAGCATTGATTTTTACGCGCCAATTTGTACGCACCAGTCTTCTACGGCATAGAGAGGTAATTTTGCATTTTGTCTATTGCATGATTAGCTTGGATGGATTTCAATTGCAATCGCCATATCGTCGAGCATAACATGGCTAACAGAGAGTAATTGTCCAAACCAGGGTGAGGAAAATCTGATATGTAGAAAAGATATAGTACTGGACCGAGAATACTTCCTTGTGGGACGCTGGATCTTATAAGTCTTGAATTGGATTTTTCATTTCCTTGAGCAACGAAGAAGTGCGGTTCTGCAAAAAGGAGAAGATCAGAAGAATGAGTTCTCTAGGAAGTCCCAAGTTGATAAGCTTGAAGACGAGCCCCTCATGCCAGACACGGTCAAAGGCTTTTGCCACGTCCAGCATAAGGAGCGCAACACTTTGCTTGTTATGGAATGCAAATCCCACAAATTCTACAATTCTTACTAGTTGTCGGGTAGTATTGAGGTTTTTTCTGAATCCGTACTGATCATTAGGTAGCAGGTGAAGAAAAGGTTCCAATCTTGTGAGAATAAGTCTTTCATAAATTTTACCAAGGCTGGATAACAAACTGATGGGAGGATAGCCATCAGGCTTGGTCACATCTTTACCCGGTTTGGGAAGAAGAAAGATCTTGGCTTGCTTCCAAAGGATCAGGGAAAATAGTTGAGAGTAAGACAAGCGGTGAGAATACTAGCGAATTTACTGATAAGTTTTCTAGGTAAGTTATGAAGCATTTTATTAGTAATTTGATCACTTCCAGGAGCTTTTTTGATGTTGAGATATTTAATAATATTAGTAATTTCCATAGGAGAAGTAAGCCTTGGGATGTTATGAGCCGAAGAAGAATGAAGCCAGGAATACACATAGTTTTCCAGAACATCTTTAAAGTTCTGATTCATGGGCTCCATATTAGGAGTAAACTGCTTTTCCAGGTATTCAGCGAAAATATCAACTTTATCTTTGAGTGAGTAGGCAATTTTAGTATCTGTATGAATAGGTCTATTGTTAATACTACTTCTTTTAAGATTTTGAAGATACTTCCAGAAAGAACCATCACTAATATTAAGTTTAGATATAAAATCTTCTCTTGTTTCCTTTTTAAAATCAGTGATAAGCTTCTTGATTCTTCTATTAAAAATATTGATTTCTCTTTTAAGGGCAGGGTTCCAGTTACGGTGCCAAAGCTTCAGCAATCGGTTTCTTTCTTTGATAATGTCTCTGATACTGCGCAGGTAGTGTCGAATATTATTGTTAGTTAATTGAATGGTAACTGTAGCATCTCTGATAGCTTTCAGTTATACTGTCCAGTGAAGATTTGAATGGCAAGAATCGAATATCCTGTTTGGTAGAAAGTGAAGTGAAAAATAGGAAGATGTTGGATTAAAGATATTGTGAAAAGTAATCCCAGTCAGTATTATTTCTGGTAATAGGAGGGTCTTCTTTAGAAACACCAAGAGAAGTAATGACAGGTACATGATCAGATGTAAGTTCTGCCTTGACTTCCAAGGAAACAGGGATAGAAGTATTTGTAAGGATAATATCCAAGATGTCAGAGAGATTTGGAGAGGCAGGACGATAAGTGGCTTCAGAAGGTACATGTAATGCAACAGGATGATTGCAGATAAAATTATGCATAATACGTCCATTGGTGTTAGAACGACGGCATCCCCATTCGAGGTGCTTAGCATTCGTGTCTTCGGCAATAATAACTTGCTGATCTTCGGAAGTAAGTTTTTTAACATATTTTCAGAAAGTCGATTTCGTGGTGGATTATAAATAGCCGTAAAATGGATGGTACCAAATTGTGGGAGTATAACAGCAACAGTCACACTTTCAAATCCAGAAGCAGAGTTTGTCGAGACAAGACAGGATTGCAGAGAGTTTTAATAATGGAAAGCAACCACTGAACGAATTTTTATACCCTCTGGTAGTACCAAACGTGAGGAAGTAATGCCCATATATCAAAATTCTACTATCTTAATTCAGTTACTATTTTTGCCAATAGATGGCATTACCTCCTCGCGTTTGGTACTACCAGAGGGTATAAAAATCCATTCAGTGGTTGCTTTCCATTATTCGAAGTTCAGATTTTGAGCGTGAAGGTGCAGTTGCCCCTCGCTCCCTATTTTTAACTTCGCTAATTTTCTTGTCCTTTGTGTTACATGTTTGATCAGATAGCTTGGCTCAGTAAAAGTAGGCGGCCAGTGTAACTCTGATTAAAAATCCGGTTATAACCACATGCAGTGCTGATAAGGACCACGTGTTTCTGAGACTCCTTCCCCTTTATTTTTCTTCTTTCTAGGTATTTCTCCTGATGAGGAGGGACCTTTAGCTGCCCTCGAAATCGATTGTTTCAATATACTTATGCTAAATACAAGGTTGTTTTTACGATTTTAATATTAGGATTAATGTATGGGAATTTTTTTTTTCTTTTTTAAACTGACATTTTTTTTTAAATTTGAAGATATTTATGATTATATTAAAGAACTGAGTGAATACTAGTTTGTCATTCTTGTAAAGTTATAATATTAGATAAACCAATATTTCAAATATAATTTGAGTAAAATACGTTTTGATTTACAGCATATCCAATTTTCAAGAAAACACTGCCATTCTGGATAATAAAAAACAGTTGGGGTGCTTCGTGGGGAGAACAGGTACTTTTTCTGTTAATTGATATGTGCTCGCATAAATATAAAATAGTGTAATTTTAAGGGAGCTTTTTATTGGCACATAAATATTTAATAAGTTAATTTTTTGTATCTAGGGTTATTACAGAGTTTATCGTGGTGATGGAACATGTGGCCTAAATATGATGGCAACTTCTGCTGTTGTTGATTAGCATGATTGTGAAGACCAATGAGCTGCTATTAATTGTAGAACTATTCTTTGTATAGCCTTTGTGATTTTTAATAATGACATCAGTGGATTTTATAGGAAAATTTATATTATTTTTTACATGCTCAATACTATACATAGAGATTATTTTTTATTTTTCTTTAAATGAACTAATGTTTTATATGAAAAAATAATCCCTTTGAATAATTTTTTAAATGTATGCCTTACCTGTTAGATAATTAAAAAGCTTAAGATTAACCATTGTGTGCATTCATTAACATTTATGCTGAAAAGTGGGATTTAATATACATTACTTTAATCTATTAATTAATTAATATATAGAGTTTACACAAAGCCACCCTCTTTCTCTCTCACACACATACATGTTGATTCTTATTTTGATATCATGTTTTATAGTAATATCCAGTTTGAACTTTTAATGATAAAATAAAAATTTTTAATAATACAAATATAGCTATTTTGTTCGTGTACAAAATCATGGTAAATAATTATGTAGCATTATTTAAAAAATAAAATTCAGTCAATGCATAAATATACAATTATGAAAAGAAATACTATTAAATTTACAAGTAAGAAAAACATCTAATTGCTTCAAATTTTGGGAATTCTTGTGGAAGAAAGGAAATAAGGAAAAAAGTTAGATCTCTACAGGGCTGGAAGGTTTTTCTTACATTACTAAGCTTAAATCCAGGAAATTACAGAAAGATGAGCATGTTGTATAACAATGTTTTGCAGAGAATATGGGTGATAAATGTTTTAGATATTTTTTGATTTACATACTTTATATATTTGTTTTCCTTTTTTACTTCCTTATACATATAAAGTATTGTAATCGCGAAAAGTTTCAGGCAGCATATTTCAATGAAAATATCCATTTTGAAGCTATCGAATGCAATTTAACGATGTTTTTGCTTGACATCTGTACATAAGGACAGAATAAAAGATTCTTTTCCTCCAAAAAAATTATAAAACTGCTTTAAAATGAATTTTGAAGAGAATTTTTTGTGTCGTCTGTATGAACGTATCTCGCATAACTAAAAAATGAGTAGCCTCAGAACATTGAAATTTTGTATATAAAACTGCTATAACATGTAGATGTGCATCTCATATTTTGGTTGCAATCGGCCACACCAAACGTATATAAATATATATATTCACTCTGTTACTCGTCTCGGTGATCTCAGTTTCTTTACTCTAATATGTTTGTAAATTGTACATGTTTTGCTTTAAAAATGATTGAATTATGTTGTTCTATCTTCCAGTTAAGGTTTTTATGCTTTTCGTAAATATGGAAGCAATATTTGTACAATTATCAGCAGTTTAAAAGCTGTTTAAGTGCAGTTAAGTTTTGAATAACATGGTGGACATATTTGTGTACATTTGAAACAGCAGAATAGTAGATTTGTTGTCAATCTAGAGAAAGTAAGCTTCACAACAACAAAGATAATGCATTCATTTATTATTGCGAATTAAATAATGCGTAATCCTTTCTGGAATTTTTTCGATGAAATAAATGTTTAAGATTTACTTCGTAATTTTTAATTCAGATATTTTGAGTTTTTATGTATTTTTGCCTTGTCGCAAAGTGAGAACTGAATTAATTGAATGAGAAATACTAAATCGTCTGTGAAAAACTGTTTCTTTTTTGTTTTGTTTGTTTAATGTCTTTTATACATCGTTCTAGCTTTATCATAGTATTTGAACAGAACATGCGGCAACGATTAAATAATTTTTCAAATGATATAAATTTTGTGCATTGTGAGTTATAATATGAATGAAATATTAAGTGAACTTAGTGCCAGAGTGTCGCTATGCTAAACAAATACAGTTAAAACTCTTTAATGCGGACTTGTTGGGACTTCGGCGATTCCGGATTATAGATCATCAGTTTAAATCTCATAAGATGGCATGCAGAAATTATAAAATTAAAAATATGAAACAGTAATTTATGAAATAAAGAACAATTATGATCTAAGAGGTATCAAAATTTACAAAAAAAAAAAAAAAAAAAAAAAAAAAAAAAACCCTTAATATTTATTTGTTTACTTTATTAAACATTTCTTTCAATGTAAGTTGTTTAAGTTGCTTTGTTTTATGTGATAATACTTTCTCTTTAATTCTATAAACAGACATAATTTCTTGTTCAGTTTGTTCAGTAACAAAGTTCCGCTGTTCAAGTCCCATTAATTGCTGTGCCGAGAATACCGACTAACTTGTCAATCGAAATTTTTTCGTTTTCACTAAGCTCTCTGTCACATTCTTCATGTCTTTATCCATTTTTTGCAGCAATTCCACTTTTTGTGTGATGGACATCGAAACATGCTTTCACTTTGTAGATCCTTTGGGAGCTCCAGAATCGAAAATTCAAGTTTACTTTTATAGTATTGCTCTTACAGTCTGCAAAAAATAATAAGCTGGATCCAATTCGAAAATTAAGGAACAATGCAACCATCAACATTAACTGAAATAGATAATTAGATAATTTTAGCTTATACCGTCCGTTACACATAAAATGCGCACGCAAAAACGTATTCTGCGCTTGCGTACACGCATATGCGCAGTCGTAAAAGGTCTTACGTGCACGCGTAAACGCCTATGCACAGAAAATTTTTAGCTTTGAGGTCCGGATTACAGATCATTCCGGATTATGGGTGTCCGAATTAACGACTTTTGACTGTACACCCCCCACATATTTTATTTAACTCTCTGATGTACTCTGTCTTCATGGTAGGATTATCTGTTATCCAGTCTTTCTCTCCAGTATCACATTTTTTTTGTATCGTGTATTGAAATAATTAGCATTTTCCGCCTATCTTTGAAAGCAGTTAATTATGTTTAGATTCTTTTTGTGCAAAACTAACATCTCACCAATTTTTGTTTTGGGCAGCAGAAAATTTCAGCCATTCCTTTCCTTCTCATTACAGTTCTGCAATTATTTGTCCCAATTCTAAGTGTTCATCTGCCAATGATGTAGACATGAAAAAATATAAATGATACCCTTGACCAGGAAGTTCTTCAAGTAGAGCTTTAATAACTCCTTCCCCACATAATCATCAAGTTAATTTTGACTCGTTTCTTTTCCAAGGTAAATGATAAAATTACAGATATAACCTTATAACGTTGCGCGCCTCCAACTTGCACGCAACCAAGAGGTGACTGTGAAAACTTGTATAAAAGATAGAGCCTTGTGAAGGGTTTAAGTCCCTTTTTATTCAACGTAATAAATTACAATTGCGTCCTCTTGACGCTTACATACTGTGCCAACTTGGCAGTCAAATAAAAATAATAACCTGAAAAGAAAGTAAAGACAAGATTCTAACTACGAGGCTCTCTAAAATAACTAACTCACCGCGTTTTACAATACCGCTGCTAATTCAGCAGACTTGAAGCTCACTGGAACGATTACCACTACTTCCCGCCAAGCACATAGGCCGCAACGCGGGGTTCTTCAATTCTCGCTAACTACCTCCGCGCTCGCTAAGTAAGAATATCTCACCGAACTTGTTTCCTTCCTATTTAAATCAGAATACTTCCGCTGATAATTTGAATGCTTGCGCGTTCTACTAAAATTTACATATTCTGACATTGGCAGTTCCAGGGGAAAGTAAGGCTTGACAGGAAAGATAGTTTAAACTTAAAATAAATGTTAGTTAAAAATAAATATAAACCCTACAACCTGATTTAGATTCACATGATTTATAAAGTTTAATTCTGTATCAGGATTGTTTAGCAGGTATATGGCAAAATTTAATTCTTCCTTTCCACAATAAAAACTTTCATTTATTGATGTAGTCCTTTTAAAAGTGTAGCCTGACTTGAGATTCCTGATTATTTTATTCAAAAGTGGTCGAAACTTTCCAACTTTTTTGGCGGTATCACTGGATTAGAGAATTTCAATGTAAACATCATGAGTCACTATACTGTTAAAAAATGGCGTTACAATCATGGGATTCATAAAAATGTACATTTTGATTTTGGAGGGTTTTTTTTATAATAGTCATTAAAATTGTTAGAGGGGAAAAAAATTTCATCTGCTGCTACAGGCAGATAGTTCCTACAAGTTGAACTTCTGTGTCATAAAAAAATATCTAAAAAAATAAATTTCTTCTTCCACTGAATTATCTATTTTTAATACAGGGAGTATTTTGAATGGTAATTGCACTAAATTTTCTGTAGTAGATGTCCATGAAGAAGTATTACCTTTCGATGCACTTGGCATGCAAATATACAATATGTCGACATCATCACTAAATTCATGGGTTTCGTTATCAACAGAGTAGTTAGAATAAATTACAGTAGCTCTTTCACTACTCTCAGAATTTATATCCGAAATATTTTGAATCATTTCTGCTTCAATTAAAAAATTTTAACGCTTCAGTATTGAACACTCAAAACAGAAATATTTCATATACATATGGTATAATTCTAGATTAAAAACTGACTTGAATTATTTATTTTTAATCCAGGGAGTATTTTGAATGGTAATTGCACTAAATTCTCTGCAGTGGATGTCCATAAAGAAGACCTTTCAATGACTTGGCATGCAAATATATAAAATGTTGTCATCATCATTAAATTCATGGGTTTCATTATCAACAGAGTAATCAGAATAAAGTAAAGTAGTTCTTTCACTACTCTCAGAATCTGTATCCGAAATATTTTGCATCATTTCTGCAATCTCAGCTTCAGTTAAAAATTTTCAACACTTCAGTATTGAACACTCAAAACAGAAATATTTCATATATATAAGGTATAATTCTAGATTAGAAACTGAGCTGCAAACCTAGCTTAGCAAGTCAAGCGATCCGGATCACTTGACTACACATTAATGGTTGAAGCAACGTTTAGCAGCACGCGATTATATGATGTGTGGATTTTCATGGGCTTGTATCTGCATTACTGTACATAACATGATTAGGCAACACATCGCTTTGTATGACAGGAGTTCAGGTTAGTTCTGCATTTCAACTTTGAAAATCCATATGCATATAAGTTCTGATACAAATGAACAAACATTTGATGCTGTTTGTAGGCTGGGTACTTTTCCCAAAATATATTTATAGTGGTTTTAATCTATTACTGTCAGTTACTCGTATATAAAATGCATGTCTACCAACTAAGCATTTGTAAAATTACTCATGTTCTCTATACAGTATTGCAAGTTTTAATAAGGAAGCTCCAGATGCCATCCTGAAGCAGTAGTATATGGCAAAACATACCCATTTTGTAAGCAAATACGGTTACAATCACTGTTCTATATCTACTCTCTGTTTGTACATAAGAGTGCTGAGACACATATATCTTTAAGAACAAAATTCACTTAAGTAACATTTTCAGGAGGTTAGATACAAATTTTATTTCAGCAGAAAATGATTAATCACTAAAATGATCAGTTTTTATTCTATAGATGTTTCTTCACTTTGATTAAAAATGATGAATTACATTGATAGCAGACAATGAAAGGATAAGCTAAGAATAATTCATTCTTGAATTTCTGAAAGAATTTTATGCATCAAGGTATGAAATTTTTGACTTTTAATTAAAATAAGAATATTAGAGAACTACACTGGTGTGTAAAAATTAAGGACGAAGTCGAAAAATTAGCATATCAGCTGAACGAAGAGGCAGAGCGGACAGAAAGACCAATCAGGAGATTAAGTAAGGTGATGTACGGTAGCACATGCGCAGATATGCAGGTAGACGTAATGGGGGAGTGTCTGAGTAGTATAAAGCATGTTGTCGGTGTAAGGTCAGTATTTCTGGCAAAGAGATTGCACGCCGTATAGCAGTTAAAATCACACTGAGTTGCTGAGCGAGAAATGGCGAATAATCAATCTGTTAGACGACATCTGGATGCTTTTACCCGAGGTCGAATCATTGGGAAGTTGGAGGAAGGTCGCAGTGTGACAAGTGTGGCTGCAGAGTTCGGAATTGCTCACAGCATCGTTTCACGACTTTGGAGACAATTTCAAACTACAGGAGCAGCTATTCGGGGGTTTAGTAGTGGTCGTCCACGAGGAACCACACCCGCAAATGACCAGTATATTGCCTTACAGGCCAGAAGAAACAGGCGACAGACAGCGGGAGAAATCGCTAGACACACAACACAGGCGACTGGATGACCGATATCGCATTTTACCGTGGCCAGAAGACTGCACGGTGGTGGTCTGTTTGCACGACGCCCTGTACGGTGTGTACCTCTAACGCCTGCCCATCGGAGAAGGCGTTCTCTGTGGTGCCGGGAACACCGGAATTGGAGAGACAATGAATGGGGATGAGTACTCTTTACAGATGAGAGCAGATTCAGTCTGAGTAGCGATTCTCATCGCATACTCATCTGGAGAGAGCGGGGAAGCCGCAATCATCCCTCGAACATCTTTGAAAGGGACAGTATGGAGGTGGCGGTGTTCTCGTTTGGGGAGGCATCATGCTTGGTAGTCGTACAGACCTTCACATCTTCGACGCAGGTTCAGTCAACAGGACCCGTTATTGTAACGAGATTCTTCTTCCATATGTGAGTCTTTTTAAAGGCGCTATGGGTCCGCAGTTCCTTTTCATGGACAACAATGCACCATGTCATCGCACAGTAGCTGCCGAACAGCTCTTAGAGAGTGAGGATATTGAACATATTGATTGGCCGGCACGATCTCCGGATCTCAATCCCATCGAGCATGTATGGGATTTTCTAGGCAGACACTTGGCCGCTCGTACCTTACCACCAGTAATGATTCCGGAGCTTCGATTGGCGCTACAAGACGAATGGGCAGCAATGTCTCAACAACTCGTTGACACCCTCATTCTCAGCATGGGCAGACGCTGTGAAACCTGCCTAGCAGTCAGGGGAGATCCCCTATTAAAGACCGGATGTTTCTTGCTGGACACCCATCACAGGGATGTTTTGGCCTTCAGTCGCATTGCGCTCCATGCTACTTTTTCAATAAAGCTTCTTTTTATCCCTCTGATTTCTCTTTTAGTAAGTGTTGCTTACATTACTCATGTCCTTACGTATTGGGGATCTTACGGTATTAAATGTGTTGATTTGGAAAGCTTTTGTACAAAGTTATATTGAAAAAACCGTCTCGTTCTTATTTTTTGCACACCAGTGTATATCAAAGTTGCATGTTTGTTTATTCTTTTACACAATCCAACTGTAGCACTCGGACTACTTTAATAAAATTTTGCCCCTTCTTCAAGAAACTTTGCAACTTTGAATAAGTTATTATTAAAGCCTCATTTGTTTTTTCTAATAAAAATTTAAAATAATAAACACTTAATTTTTTAAATTGGAGCCATTTTAATATCTTTCCCTATGGTTAGTCTTTATTTCATTTTTTATATCAAACATTTCATTCTAATCTGCAATATGGCAAAAGATTGTATTAAGTATTTGCAGTTCAGGAAATGAAGTTTTAGATGAATTTTTTTTAGTTAAAAAATATTCAGTTTTTAAATATACAGATCAAGGTAATGAAAAAATTTTAAATAAAATACATTATTTTGATTAAAAGTACGACAAAGAAAAAAGCAAATGGTGAAAAAAATATAAATCTGCAAAATATAACTGTCATGTAATGTGAAGATAGGAGAAAGTATTTAAATATGAATTGGTCCACAAGTTTCATTAATAATTATTCAAGTTTTATAAGGTTTTATTTGCATCAGAAAATATGTTAATATGGAAGATGCAATCCTTAAGTATATGTACATATAATATCAATGAAATTTAAACAATTATTAAAATTTATCATAATTAACAGTCAATATCAATGAGAGCAATAATATCTAACCTGCTCAGAAGTATCTTATTTGAGCTCTTAATTATTCATATTGACTGTATTAGTTAACAAAAAAGCTCATTAGATTCATTTTTTGAAAATATTTCAAGTATAAAAATGGCATTAGAATTGATCACATACATCATGTTTAAAAAGCAATGAGAATTCCCCCCTTTTATACTGTAAATTGATTTTAATGCTTTTCTTGTACCATGTAAAAACAAAAGTGTCTGCATATCCATATGTACTCAACTTTCTTAATTTCAACTAAGGAATATGTTAAAAATTTTAGGAAAACTTCAGAAACAATGGCTTTTTCACTTTTTTTAATATACATTATTAAGTAACACTGATGTAACAAACAATAACATACGTTACATATCACTAGCATTACAAAAAATGGTATGTAACAAATGGAAATAAAATATAAATACTTCCTTCAAACAACATGTAAATATATTTTCCCCCAAATAAATTTCCCATAAGATAAAACTTAAGTAAAACACAACAGTTTTCTATCAATATCTTAAGTACTAGTAGGCTTTAAGGCAGTCCAGGAAATTATTGGCATTACAAATTTAGCTTGGGCTCTACATTATATATATATTATTATAACTGAAAATTATATTAAATAAATTCTCTTTCTTCAAACTTATTCGCAGAAAAACAATATATAGGAAATCAAACTGTTTACCTAGACATAATATAGATTAGAGCATTGTAGTTGAAATATAGAAATCTTATGTTTTAATTATGTGTTAGATAGTTTTGCTATACCAAACGGTAGAATTGCAAAAAATACACACTATAAAATTCCACTAAAATATTTATATCATGGTATTTATTTCAAATATTTTTATATTTTTGTTATTATATATCATCTCATATGAATGCAGCATTTCAGCATAATGTTAAAATATAATTAGGCTTATGAGTCAAATAAAAGTATAAAGATGAAAATTGCATTCACATGGGTTAATCTATGAGAATGGATACCATTTAGGCTAAATAAAAAAAATTAAAAAATACTACATTCATGAAAGCAAAATTACCAACAGACATTGGAACTGGCAAAAATAAAATGGCACAGTACATAAAATGAAAATGTATTAGTGCACATTTGCTTTAAATCTTCGCAATACAAAAGCTAAACTTTTAACAAAAATCCCCCCCCCCCAAAAAAAAACTTATTGCTATCCCTTCATTAACTTTATTTATATACGCTTAAATAATTGATAAAATTTTAATTAAAAGTAATTGATAAATGCCTGGAAGTTTTTGAATTTCAATTAACCAAATTACATGAGGAATATAAATTTTTAGTTTAAATAGCAATAAAAAATTAAGTCTTAACATACAGAAAGTTTTAAAAAAAGGAGTGCATGATTAAATAACTCTTGAACAGCTGATTGTAGACCCATGGAACTAATTTAAGAAATGTATCATCAAAATATTTTAATCATGTAAAACTTTTTAGATAAAATAATGCAAAATTAAAATTTTTATACTGACTCTAGAAAAGAAAAATGTCCAAAAATTTTTCATAACCAAATTAGTAAAATAAATAGTATTATAAACATCTTTAATGAATTATACTTTTGCTGCAAATGTTCACAATTATCAATTGGATATAATGTAAATTAAATTTAATTTAGCACTTCACTATGTTATTGAAAAACAACAAGTCAGTTACAGCAATGCTCCAAATTTTCATAATAAAAATTATTTAAAAATATCATAAATTAAATACTTTTTTACATTACATCAAGTAAATATATAATTAGAAATAAGGATTAAAATTATTAAAAATTAAATTTATTGCTTTTAAATTGCTCAGTTTATTAGACAACACAACTACAATTAAAAAAGTAAAAATCTTGCATAACAGCACATGGCCTCTCAAAGACTGTTTTTAGGCTATGTTGAAGATAAATTAAAGATCTATTGCTTTTACAACAGTAATGCTTACTGTCATATACATGATAAATGAGTGAAAGCATAATATGTAATAAACCAAATATTTTGGAAAAACTTAATGTTCTGATATAGAAAGAAAAATAATTATTCTCATGTTATGAAAATTTAACTTAAATATCATTAAGTAAAGTTTTTCAAGATTTATACAAATATTGCTAAAGACTGCTGTGCAAGTACATTTGCAAATGAAAATTCCTAAAAGATATCTTTTTCCTTAATATGAATGTGTAGTAGTTAAAAAGACCTATTTATAAAAATGTTAAAATTTGAAGTATCTGTAGAATCAACACATTCCAACTCCCTTTCTTTTCAAGAGAAAAAAGTGGTTTATGTCAGTCATATAATTCTATCAATATTTCAGGGTCAAAATACAGAACTTTTTTTTTTGCAAGGACCTTTAATAGGATGAAGAGTGATTAATTACTTGGAATTTTCTTTGTAGATGGCATGTAAAAAATTAAAACTTTTTGTATATTTTTGCCAAAAGGTACTGCATGGTAAAAACTGTTGTAGTTTTTCAAATAGTTCTTTTTTTTGAATTAGGAACAATGAATTATTTTAGAAGATTTTATTTGAATACTGCATATTTCTATTCTAGGACACATATTTTCTAAAGCAAGCAAATTAAGTAAAGCTAACACATTTTATAAAAATGAGCTTTATATTGTAAGAAAAATACATTAGCATTTGATAAGTTCATTTATCTTCATTTTCTGTTTTTCTTTTTTATGAGTAGAAAAAAGGACTTGTTCAGTACTTCATAATCCTATCCTTGCAAGATCATAATATTAATATATAATGTAAGTACATATCATCGCAAATAAAAATCATTCTTTTTTCTACATATAAATGAAAATTGAAAGGAAAAGTATATTTCAGTTTAATATCGGCATTTCTGGTAAAAATTTTTTATATAGTTCAGCCAAAGTGCTAATAAAGATCAAAGTTTTTATTTTTATAAATAAATAAAAAGGTCTATATACGACTTAAAAAACAACTTTAGATTAATGTGTAAAAACAATGCATACAACTTGTGGAAAAAAAATAGCCTGCGATTCTGGAATGAGTAATTTAAAATTTAGAATTTTATAAATTTCATAATTAAAAACAATTGCATTTCATAACTGGGAGAATATGAACACACTTCTGTGATATTTTGAAACGTTTTCAATTGAATTTTTTACATTTATCAAAAAAATAGTTGAATTTTTAAAAATATCTTATAAAATAGAACTGTTGACCTTTATATTTTAAGTGATATAAATGGAAATTTAACACAAAACCACTTTTTTTTTTGTAATTGAAATTTAAGCATTCAAGATGATAAGAAGAATTAAAATATCTTTTCATGCTAATTTACACCAAGGTATAATACTTATTTGCAGATATGATTTACTTTTATTAAAATTTTTATAACACACTCAAAGCATATTTAAAATTAATTATAGTTTAAGCAATAATTAAAAATTAAATAATGAAGTTTGATTCTTAAAGATCATACTTTAATTGATTAATACATTGTAAACCATATAGTTATCTTTCTGTACATTGATAAATCCAACGTTTATAATACAATAGTAAATAATTATGTACATATTAATTTTTCTAGCATCACTTTAATTTTTTCAGCTATAAAATTTTTTTGCAAATAGCTGCAATCAATATTATACAAAAGAACAAATATTTAAAGAGTTTTGAAATTCTTAAAAATATTTAAGGAACTCTTAAAAATACTTTTAAGGGGTTTTGCAATTTACATTTTTAACTCTGTTCTATTTATTGCCTAAAAAGTTTACAAATTAATAACAGAATTTGTAAATTAATAACAGAACTACATACTGTTATCAAACATGTTAAAAATTGTATATTAGTAAACGCATATTAGAAAGTGTACAAACAACAATTTTTTTCCACAAACATTTCAACACATACTTATGCAAGAAAGCATAATCTATAATTTTACGAAATTCAATAATAAATGTATCTATAATTTTACGAAATTCATTTTAAAATGTAACGTATTGCATTTTTAGGTACTTTTCTGTTATTGAGACCGGAATCAGAAATGTATGTATGTGTGTGTGTACATACATATATACATGAGCACATCCATCCATACATACAAACATTCATACATTTCTGAATCTGGTCCCAATAAGAGAAGAGTACCCATATTTATTGGCTCATTTAAAAAATGTCTTTACATTTAAAAATATATGCAGATACTTAAGTTTACTAATAAATCTACTTTAATCATGGAACTTTCTGCATTTTGACAAGCCACATGATGTGATGATACAGAATAAAAAATAACAATAATATAATAATTACGTTAATTAAAATTTATTAATAAATCAAATAAAGGAAATAGATTTTAAAGTCAAAATGACTATACAGTATAACTACAATAGATTTTTAAGTCAAAATGACTATACAGTATAACTCCAAATATGTAAACTAATTGGTGCCATAGTCCAATCTGACATGAAAATCTGAATAGTTAAATTGTGTTTTTCTGTATGCAAATACATACTTATTATAATGCAAGTGATATAATTTTATTTTTTGTTTACTGTAATTTAACAGGGGATTAAAAAAACATTATTTCCATAAAATATTTTTTTATCTTTCTAAATATACAGCCCATTTCTCTTTGAACTATAATTAAAGTAAAAGGATTTATATTTATTTATGTAGGCCTTAAAACCAAACACAATCATACAAGACTAAAATTAAAGGAAAAAAGTTGATAATTGGGAGTCACGGATAACTAGATATGGATATCTGAAGGTCAGATAATTCAGAGTTCTACTGTATACTAATACAATACCAGTTAGATAACTGGGAGGGGAGTGTTTACTTTCTATAACATAGAAATAAATAATATAAGCCAAATTATAAATCACAGAATTAAAGAAAATTTAACAATCAAATTCTGCTCATATTTTAAAACTAGGGTTTATAGGTTCTTAAAATATTCAAAATACATTCATTCATATTTAGAAATGTGTTTGCTATTAATACTAAGCAGAATACTTTTTCAACAGCTCTTCTCATATTTATAAAACATATATTTAAAAGGCACAGATGTGATATCTACACTCATGTAATACTTTTTGAGCTAAAACTAAAATTATAAGACAACGTTAGATAATTTTTTTCCCAACTTAAAAAAATTCACTTAATGAAAAAATATTTCTTTTTGTTGCTAAAATGCATCTGCTAATAATAATTTTACAATAGAATCTTACACATTTGATTTATAGGAAAATTAGTGTTTTACTCAATTTATTTATTTATAACATTAGCAGCATAAGAAAAGTCAATTTTAATATTAATTAAATGCCTAATCTCTCTACAATTTTGAATAATATTTTATTTTTATCAGTATATAGACAAAGTATGTAACAAAACACAGAATAAAACATTAAACTGATTAACAGCAAATATTTACATATTTATTAACAGAGATGCTTTGACTAGAAATAATATATTGCACTATAAGCGGCCTTCTCTCACACTTCCAGATATATTTTTCAATCCTTCAGACTTGGTGAAGTCAATTTCAGCATACATCAGGGATTCCTCATCTTGAACAACTGAAGACTTTTGCATTGATGGAGAACGTGGTGCATCATCTCCAGAAGCAGGAGTTAAATCCAATGATGCATAATTTAGTTCTTTCTCACTACTTACAGATGAAGGCCTTGAGCTTGTTGATGGTTTTTGAGGGATAACTACATTTTCATACTGATTATCAGCTGGTATGTTCTGACGAATAACAGTACCAAAATTTTGAAATGTACTTAATACTTTGGGACTACTGTGATTCGAGCTTAACTCATCACTAGCAGATGAAATGCTTGAAACACTACTATGATCTGGTGATCTTGATGTTGATACTCTGAGATGTCCTATAACTGTTCCATGAGACTGTAGATGCATAGGTCTTATAGAACTCACTGCATTTACAGGCAGTGGGGATTTAATCATACTAGCTGATGCTGTAACAGGACAGGAACTCTTTCTGCCTGGAGATGGAAGTTCTGGCCTCAAAGATGAAGCAGCAGGTGCAGACATTTGTTTTCTAAATGCTGGAAGCGTATTAGGAATGTTCTTAAGTTTTGGTGTAATCAAAGAATTTTTTGAAGAATCAGTGCTATAATTTACAGAACAAGTCGGTGATTGTTGAATTTTTTGCTCTTTAGCATCATCACTAGCATTATTTGAAGTGGAGTTTAAGGTATAAGATGGTGAAACACTTCGATCTGATTTTGTCAGTTTTTCACTTTTTAGAGAACTATTGAATGAAGAAATAGCAATTTCACATGTTGCAGGAACTGGATTTGGTGTAGGGCAATATGGTTTACCAAACTGAATATTACTGTAACTAGCATCTACTGGACAAAAAGGATTAGACATAAGTTGAAAATTACTTTTATGAATAGAAGAAATTGCAGAGAAATTTTTATTAGTTACAGGAAGAGCAGGCTTTTTAAATTCAAGATTAACATAATCATCTAGTGAATGTGATATACTTTCAGAAATTTTGGTTAGATTTTGATTTTCAGATTCGGGTACCAAACTTAAAGAATACTGAGAATTTTCAGGAAGTTCATTAGCTGTCAGACTATCCCTTTTATTATGAAGTTGCAACTCAATTTCATTACAAACATTTTCAGGAAAAGAATACCTGCTTGCTAGATTTTTATGATTTTGTGCAGGACTATGCAATGCTTTCATGATAGTCATTTTAAATTCTGAAGGTTGATTATTAGAAACTTTGTTAATTGACATATTGCTTTTACACCTATCACCATGAACAGGGCAAATAAATTCTCTGTTTTGGTCTGGTGAGACCTTGCTGGCTTTATGTGACAAATTGTTTTCAACAAAACTGGAAACAGCATATTCTGAACAATCACTGGTTTGCTGAGATCGATTTATGTCTGGTCCACTTTCAGAAATGTTACATTTTTGTTGGATTGAAATTGTATTAACAAATTTACCAATATCTAATTCTCTTCTACTTTGATCACACAATGTAGAAACCTTTTCTGAAATGTTCCTTGCATTACGTGATGGAAGAGGAGGACATACATTTTTAGCTTCTATCCTGCAGTATGTTCTTTCAGGAATTGGAGGTGGTTTGGCAGAATATAAATTTGTATCACTGCAAATCTTGTTCACTTGCATTTCATTTGAAGGAATGCTTGGTATCAAGGAGCTGGGTTCTACTTTTGAATCTAACTGTTCCTTTCCATCAGTAACTGTATTTCTCAAGATGGGCTAAGGAATAAAAAAAAGCTTTGTTAATAATATTTATAATCAAATTTCAACATAACTGAGAATAGTTCACCTATAAATTAGCACTGAATATTAAACTACATTATTTTTATTCAAATTAGTAATGAAATATTTGACCTTTATTTTGTGAATTAGAAAAAAAAATAATTTTTAAATTTTTCATAATGACATACAACACTGGGGTCTGGGTAACTGATTCCAGCAATACCCGTGCTGTTCAAAACCAGATTAATCAAGGAACTGAATGCAAACAAAAAATGATAACTGGTTTCCAAAAAGAAATTCTTCGTTTTTCAATAAATATGATTAATAAATTCAAATATCTTTGTTACAAATAATTTTAAAAATGTATGTTTTCCTAAATTCTTTCTTTTTTTTGGGGGGGGGGGGTTTGTTTCTAAAAATTGCAGTACTGATGTCTGCACATTTTTTTTTTTTCATTGGCATTTTCTTTTCATATATTTCTTAGCAACAATGAATTGCATTGTTTATCATGTGGTGAACAAATTCTTTAACAATGCTTTGACTGAAGTCTCAACCATTCCAATAGTTTTTTTTATAGTTGTTGAGCTGCTAATTCCCTTACAAGAGGTATTACTGTCTAAATCCTTACAGTGGCTGAGCGATAAGAGTCGCTGAACACTGTTAGTTCAGTCCGGGATTCAAATCCTGGCAAACGGGCTGGCTGCATGGGCATTTTCACAGTTTTCCTCATATGTAACATGTATGTGAGGCAGCTTCTCTTCCTCCACGAAGGCACCTCTTTCCTTAGGCACATCAAGGCAGTGATGGTCAAACATCAAGGCAGTGATCATACAGGTCACTGATGGTAAATATCAATGATCAGCCTTGATTTAATTTTAATAATAATAAAAAAAAAAAAAAAATCTGTCTAAATGTACTACACTACGTACCAGTGGCATAGGCTTGATCTGATGAGACCATTATCTTGTAAATTATCTGTGATCAACAGCCTTAAAAAGCAGCAATGCTGTTTGATTTAATTTTGACATGGGAGGAAATATCTTTGAGGGGTTCTTTCCACAATTTTTACATTAAAAAAATAATAGAATATTCCCAAAATTTTTAGTACCATAGCCATATATACTAACACTGGCAAGAGTTTTCACTGTGCAGAACATAACATAAGGTCTTTGATATGCTTTGCACATAACCAGTTCTCAGAGCAATGTCACCACACTATGCAAAACATTAGGTATTACTAATTTTCTGAGCATGAAATCCACAGAAAGATCAGTAATATTTAATGTTTCAAAGTAATGCCGTTTAAGTAAGATAGTTTCCAAAGTAATGCCATTTAAGTAGGTTTAATTTATTGTTCTGTAACTGCTTAATGATTTAAAAGCATGGAATGCATATTCTTAATAGCTTAAATTTTATTTTATTTTTTAATAACACATTTTTGTTCAAAAAATAAGCAACAAGGGCAAACCATGGAATAAAACAAAAACTATTTAATGAAATAGATCCAAGAGGTTGGTGTGGCATTACTAGACCATGCTAACAAACAAAGCAAAGGTATACAAAAACACACATATTACAACCATCACCAAATGGGCCGAAAGAATGAGCAATGGAAAATCATGCTAATAACGGGTATGATATGATACCCTCAAGCTGAATGGGAGCTTGATAATGGAGAGGCAAACTGGCAGTAGTATTGTTGATCCTTTATTGTGACAGAAGTGCCGATTCCTGTAGTAATGCATGTCAGAGCTCGTGCCTGGTGGCACAATGCGACCTACTATCCATTGTCTCAACATGTCCTACACATGCTCTCGACAGATGTGGGATGGTTTTACTCTTCAGATAACTCCATACCATTTAAGCTTTATACAGGTAGTCATTATCATCCATAAGTATTGTGCTGGTACCTGTTGCAGAGATAAAAAGGATGGTAAAATTTCATTGTGATATCGGACAGCTGTGATGGAATAATCAGAAATCACACAGAGGTCGATGAGGGCATCTGTTGCTATCCCAGCCCATGCAAATAAGCCTCCTCCTCTGTAATGATCTCTTTCAACAATGTTTAGCACCCGATAGTGTGTCCTTGGCTCTTGTCATGTCACTGCCCCTCAAGAATCGCTTTGAATGTTAAATCGAGACTCTCCCATAAAAAGTATGTGGCCCAACTTCTCTGGTGTCCAACTGTGATGTTCACGGGTCCAATTCAACCACAGTTAAATTGGGCTCGTGAACATCACAGTTATTGGGAATAAAGGAAAACCACAAATCGTCGAGTGTACAGCCTACTTTCACGCAGTTGACATGACTCAGTTTAGCAAGATATGGGCTGTCCTGCAGCAGAGTGATGTGATGCCAGCTGTCATGCTATTGGTGATTTACAACGTCTTGCACATACAACAGGAAGTGATCATCTGCTGTTGTGGTATCCTTTGGTACCCTGACCTACATCTTTTACAGAGGTTTAAATCCCTTTGGTAACAGTTCCACTTTGGGTATCTTGGATTACATGGAACTATTGCTACTTGCTAACTGATGCATATATCTGGTATGCTTCTTTTTAAGGCCGTTGATTTTTGATTGCCTATTTGCATTCCATGAAGCAACTTTTAAATCATACATGAACTGTATGTTTTAATTCCTTTACAGTTGTAGATTTCCTTTGCATAATTGTTGCTTATTACTTCCTTGTACGAAGTAAAAAGGAAGTATAGTAGATTCTTTTCCCCCCAAAAAATTATAAAACTGATTTTAAATGAATTATGAAGAGAAATTTTCATGGCATCTGTGCATATGTACTTACTTCGCATAACTAAAAAATGAGTAGCCTCAGAACATTGAAATTTTGTATATAGGATTGCTATAGCATGTAGATGTGCACCTCGTATTTTGGTTGCAATCGGCTGCACCAAAGTATATAAATATATATGTATATATATATTTATATATATCCACTCTGTTACTCGGCTCAGTAATTTCTTTATTCTCAAACGTTTGTAAATTGGGCACTTTTTGCTTTAAAAATGATTGAATTATGTTGTTCTTACCTTCCCGTTTAAGGTTATTATGCCTTTAGTACTTTTGCAATGGCGGCAATGCTTGTTTACATTTGAAACAGCAGAATAGTAGATTTGTTGCCAATCTAGAGAAAGTAAGCTTCGCAAAAACAAAGATAACGCCTTCTTTTATTATTGTGAATTAAATCATCATAAATTCTGGAATTTATTTGAGGAAATACATGTTTAAGATTTACTTCATAATTTTCAATATAGATATTTTGAGTTTTTATGTATTTTTGCCTTGTCACACAATCTTGTCAAAGTAAAACTGAATTAAATGAATGAGAAATACTGAATTGTCTGTGAAAACCTATTTTTTTTTGGTTGTTGTTGTTGTTTGCTTAATTTCTTTTATTTTAGATTTATTATAGTATTTGAATAGAATATATGGCAATGATTAGATAATTCTTGAGATGATATAAATTTTGTGCATTCTGAGCTAAAAAATGAATGAAATATAATGCTGTTAAGCAAACCTAGGGCCCGAGTGTTGCTAGGGTAAACAAATATAGTGAATTTTAAAGAGTGCATTTATTCTATTGTGGTTTATGCACTAATGATGAAATAAATTTAATTCAATCGAATAAGTTTAAATGAAATGCAAGAAAAAATGCATATAATTTAATATTCCATACAAGGAAGTCATGTGGTGTACACATCAGATTTTTTTTTTTTTTTTAGAATGAGTGTAGCGTAATTGATATAAATCAATATACATTAAAATATATTTTTGAATTTAATTTCACTGACGGCACTAAGTAAAATCATGCAAGATTGCTTAACTGTGTCCTAGTGCACTTCAGAATAGGGCTAAAGAAATTGTCAGAAACATAATGGTATGGAATAATTTAGATAAAGTAGATAATGTTTTTAAACAAAGTTTTTTTTTTTTTTAAAGAAGCTGTAAATGGTTCCTTTTATCTAAATCAGTCAGTGCATCAAAATTAGATTTTTTTCACTTAACAATAACATTTAAATGAATATACATTGGTGCCCCTGGGTACAAGATTTTTGGAATATGAGTTGATGTTTGAACAAATTTTAGTACCTTGATATTAGTAAAGTTCAGGTTACAAGGTAAAGTGGCAGGTTTGCTGCATTGCTACGGGTTCCTGATGTATACAAAGTAAAGAGCAATCTCTCTTGTTAAGTTCATGTGATTACCTTTTACCAGATGTATCCCCAAAATTAATAGAAACATTAATAAAATTTATAATTATTGTTAAGATATATTCATAATGATGGATCTTTTGAAAGTGAGTAATGTGAAAAAGCAGGTTATGTCTCTAAAATTAAAGCATGAAATCACTGATATAGTTCAAATGCATCAAACACAACCCCAGCTGGCATTCTACCAAAACACATGAATTGTACAGAAGCGATATTAATTATGTGCCGCAAGGTAAGCAAGTCACATGAGAGTTCATACTTCTGGAAACAAGGAATGTACTATCAAAGGAGGGAAAGTTCCTGTGTCATGGGGTAATTCTCTCGTCAGTTGTCTTTCATGCCTTTATTTCATAGTCACAGAAATAAACAAAAAGACTTGAATCGATGTGAAATGCTGGAAACCAAAAATATCGAAATTTTTTTTTTTCATAAGATATAAACAACTGTCTTCAACTGTGATGAGACAAGGCTCTTTTGGAAGAGGATGCCAAGAAGGACTCATATAATGGTAAAGGAGACGAAAATGTCGGGCCACAGACCTATGGTTGACTCCAGTGCTTGCAAGTGGCATCTGCAAAATACTCTGCACGTATAGCAGTCAAAAAACACAGAAATTATAAAAGAAAGACTTCGCATTATATGAAAGACAAATGCAAAGTCCTGGGTCACCAGGCAGTTCTTTGTAGAGTGTAAAAATCTGGTCTTTGCTCTCCTTGTTAAAAAGCATTTAAAGAAAAATAACTTATCTATAAGGCCATCTATCAATCTTCAAAGATGACATCCTTAAAAAGTTTGCCCTTTTTCACCTTCCACCCAACACATCCCTATCCTACAGTCCATAGATTAGCAGACGATTTGAAATTTAAAAACCTCTTCTTCAAACAACTTGTTTCACAGCTGCTTTGATGTAATGTCACCATTTATGAATTCTGATAAGATCATTACAATACTGCGACACACTTAGTGATATGGCAACATATGGTATTTCAAGGTGGACTTGACCTGTTTTTCAACTGCTTTGATGTGATCAAGAGAAAACTCACCCTTCATTAATTCTGGAAGGATCATTATAATAGTGTGACACACTTAGTGATATGGCAAGGTAGAATATTTCAAAGAGGATCTTGACCTTTCTGTGGAAGAAATTGGCCGTGTCTGAAAGGGATTTTGAAGGATTAAAACCTGAAATCATAGAAAAAGTGCTGTGTTCCTAGGAAAGGCCACTGGTTTGGAGGTGGATGAAAGAGATGTAAATGAACTTGTTGAGGTATAGTTGAGAAGTTTACAGCCTAGAAGTTCATTGAACTACAGATCGAGGACCATAAAAAGGTTTTGAAGGGAATTAATAACAAAGAGTAGGTAGGGGTAGAGAAACCTATTTCTTTGGCTGGAATTAAGATCCTTCTGGGAAAATGGAGGCAGCTGCTGTGGGGGAAAACACACACACACATAAAAAAATTTACAACATGTCATGTAATAGTGTAACATATCTTCAGAAACATGCTCAAAGTAGAATGAAACAAACACTTTGGAAAAGTTTCTACTGAAATACACTTAATATGAAAGTAAAGAAATAGTGCCCCCCCACAAAAAAGGTATAATATACATAATTATAGTAATTAAACTTTGTAAAAACAGTTTTTCCCTTTATTTTACTTTTTATATGCTTTATTATGTTTTATAAAGTTTTTATTAGCTTTCTATTTTCTTTTTTTTTTTTTTTTTCAAATTTAAAAACATATAACAAAAAACTGAGATGGTTCTTTTGGGGTAAGGTAATGGTATTAATATTATTTAAATCTATTTCAACGGGGAAAATTATTTCAGGACAGAGTGAATTAAATCTGTATGCTACAGTGATTCTGGCTAGACGTAGCTACCTGCCATTACATATCTTAAACATAACCTTTTTTTTAATAAATAAATAAAACTTTATCTCTTAAAAATTATTATTATTATTATTATTTTGAGAAATAAAAGCCAAATTTAAATAATGAATTTTTCAAAAGGTTTACTTTTTAGTTCTTTTTTTTAATTTCCCCATGAACATACACTTGAATATATTTCACTAAGTCAGAAATATCACTGCCTAAAATATTTTTATTAATAGCCATAAAATGCTTACTTCAAGCATTCTCTCATCACTTTCTTCAACTTTCAGCAAAGAAGAGACCTAAATAACAAATCATATGGAAAATATGCATGAGATATTTCAATCATAATATACTTGGTTGTTGGAAAAGTACTTGCATATTTTTTATTTTAATTTTGTGTTTTAAAGATCATTTGTCTATATAAAGAACAAAGATAAATCAACTACATATTGCCAATTTTGTTTGATCATCTTTTGCCATCTTTTTAGTGAGCCTCACAATTTTTTGTTCATATAAGGACTTGTCTTTATAGATGAAAAACTGATCATGCTGATTTACAGTTTCATCAGAAATGAAAGTTACATCATGCAAAGAGTTTTGAAGACAGTAAAACAGTTGGAAATTTGACAGTGTTAGGTCAGTATGACGAGTCAGTATGTGATAGGTCAGTATGATGAGTATGATGGGTGTGAGAGCATATCCCATCCAAGTTCTAATATTTTTTATGGGTGATCAAACTAATGTGTGGTCTCACATTGTCATTATGAATACAACTCCTTTACGAGTAATAAGCTTCAGACATTTTTTGGATGATGGACTCATTTAAATGTCCAGCTGCATACATTCATATGGAACATTAACAGAATACATTCAAAGAGATTGTTTGGTTCCTTGGTAGGAAAAAATATGAAATATTTACATGTATTTACATATCCTACCTATTCCGGCTTCTTCAGACAGTCACAAACACTTGAATGATGGATGTTCAATATTTCTGCGATCTCTTGTGTTATGTAGTATGAGTTTGACTCAATCAATGCCTTCAATTTGGTGGTCCTCAACCTTGATTATCCTTTTTAACCAAGGAGCACCATTAAGATCAAAATCACTAACATGGAATTTTGTAAATCATCATTGGCAATAATGCTCTTAAAGAGCATTGTCACCATAAAGTTTACACAACTTTTCACAAGCTTGACATATAACCTTCCCTTTAGAGAAGTAAAGCATTAAATTATGCCAAAAATGTATAGTTTGAGCTTCCATCCTCAGCTTGCTGTAAAATCCCCCAAAACTTTACCAAACTGCTCTTTTTTTTTTTTTTTTTTTTTTTTTTTTAATGAATGGAGCTAGAATGGTCAGCTGTTAAATGGCTTGAATGAATCTAGCACTTCCAAAAATGAATAAGTACTACGTGTTAAAAAATGCATCATGACTTTTCTGACAACCTAATAATAGATTGCAATAATTTTTTTATGCTACATAATCAACAAAATCTGTCTTTATAAAGGGATATCCAAAAGTAATGCACATCAACTTTTAAAAATTGTGGAAGTTCCAGACTAAATATTAATGGCAAATTGTTTCAATACATGATACCCCTATAGTGTTATAATCAATACATCACATGAAATTTCAGTTGCAGTTTGTGTTGTTTCAGTTGCAGTTTGTGTTGTTTCAATTGCAGTTTGTGTTGGCTTTAAAAACCATTTGTATAGAAAATAGAGATGAGTTTTTCTAAAATAGAATGGATTTTTATGATCCAGCATTACTTTGCAATGCTATCTTTCTCACACTCTTCACCAGTGCAGGATTTATGTATAAGCTACACAAGCTATAGCTTAGCACCTCCAGGAGAGGGCCGCCCAAAATTAAAATAAATTATAAATATAGTACAAAAATGTAGTATAACCCACTTATAAAGGGCCCCATATCTCAGATAACTTATTGCCTCGTCAATTCTAAATCCGGCCCTTTCTTTCACTGGTAATTGCAACATTTTATTCCTTATTATTCCATTCTGTTGAACTCATAAGAGACTAGAGGCCATTTTGTTTTTCACGCTAAATGCTACCACTTTTTTCAATCAAGTTATTGAGCTGAAAATAATTTTTTGATAGGTTCATGAACATCTATGAAGGCCTACACTTTTAAGTGTTTCAAAAGTTTTTCATAAGAATTTGTTGTTAAGCAATGTTCAATCAGAAAAATTTGTGACTGGGAAAAACTGATCCAGCTAACAGTCTAAATTGCAATTAAAATTTCAGGTGATATATTATTCATAACAGTGTAGGAATGCAATCCACTGAAACAATTTGCTATTAATATTCCTTTTAGAATGTCTCCAATTTTTGAAAGTTTGATGTGCATGACTTTTGGACCACTAAGTATGACACAAAATTACTTTAAAAACCATATTTAAGACATAATTTTCTATCAATTCTGACACATAATTTTTACTATCAAAAATGAATGTTATATATACACTGGTTATCATAAATAAATAAAAAACCACAAAAATAGCGATAACACCTTCAAAAATAAGACAAACCATGTAAAATTTGAATATGTTGTCAAGTAAGAGTAGCTGAGTAAAACTGTAATATGCAAATTAATGGCGCTGCACTCAGAATACATCATCTGCGAGGAGAATAAAAGTCCATGTTTGAGAGTAAGCCTACGTATTTTACTGTGATAGTGACATCAGAAATGTGAGATAGGAAATTCGTAACAATGACCTCCAGGCATCATTTGCCCGCAGAACTACAATGGAGAGCCACTGGGAGACTAGAGGCAGGACAAAGTCAAACAGAGGTGGCTAGATGGCTAAATGTGAGTCCTTCTGTGGTTCATAGACTTTGGAGGCAATTTCAAACCCCAGATTCGGCATCTAGAAGGTTCAGCGAAGGACAGCCAACTACTACGACGAGCGTCGATGACCGATATTTGACATTATGTGCACGATGGAATAGAACCACTACTCCGATTCTTCTTACATCCTCGCTGGCTGCAGCCACCAGAAGGTTGGTGTCAACGTCAACTGTGCATAGAAGGCTTCATGAAGGTGGTCTGTTTGCGAGATGACCAGCCATTTGCAGTGCTGCTCCCAAGTCACGCCATAGGAGGGACCATTTGCAGTAGGCACGACAACATGTTCACTGACACCTGATCAGTGGAGGGCTGTTCACTTTACGGATGAGTCCAGGTTTAGTCTAGAACAGCGATAACAGGCGTTATTTCGATATGGAGAGAACCTGGAACCCGTTATCATCTGTCAAACATCCGTTAAAGAGATGCATACGGAAGAGGCAGTGCCTGTGTTTGAGGAGGCATCTCTTTGGGTGGACGCACAGACCTCCATGTCTTTCCAACGGAAACCGTGAATGCTCCAATTTATAGAGATGACATCCTTGATGCTTATGTGCGCCCATGTGCTGGGGCAATAGGTGATGCTTTTCTGTTACAGGATGATAACTCAAGACCACACAGGGCTTGCATCGTAGATGATTATCTTCAACAAGAAAGAATTATGCACATGGAGTATCCAGCTCGATCCCCGGACTTGAATCCTATCGAGCACGTTTGGGATGCTTTAGAGGGACGTCTAGCTGCTCTCAATCCACCCCCTCAGACCCTTGCTGCACTTGCAACTGCTTTGCAAGAGAAATGGCTCTCGCTTCCTATGAAACTGATAGAGTGCATAATTGAAAGCATCACGCATCGCTGTATGTGCTGTATTGCTTCTAGAGGCGACCCTATTCCATATTGAAGGTACTTTTCCTATAGCAAATGGACACCTTCAATTTGTTCATTTTATACATGAGCTAATTTCTATACTACCATAATTGTCTGGTAATTTATGTTATTTGATACCTTACTATATGTTTTTTATTGTGGGTAAGTTTCATAAAATTCTACATGTAACTTTTTCAGTAATTGTGATTTTTCCTTAATTTATGATAACCAGTGCATTAGCTATCAATATATTTTCTTTTCATTCTTATATTCATTATGCACAAATCACATAATTTTGGCACAATTTGTTAGGGCAAAATTTAAAATGAAAAAATTTAACTGTATTCTCTAACTGCTGATATCAATATAATTATGGAAATTTACCTAGGTATCTTACAAATATTTTAACAACACATATAAAGCGGGAAAAATGAGAGAGAGAAAAACTTGCATTTTGAATTTAGATTACAAGTAGAGATATAATTACTTCTCAAATGGTTTATTTTGTTACAGTCAAAAGTCGTTAATCCGGACTCGTCGGGACTTCGGCGATTCCGGATTATCGATTTTTCCGGATTATAGATCATCAGGTTTAAATCTGGTAAGATGGCATGCAGAAATTACAAAATTAAAAATATGAAACCGTAATTTATGAAATAAAGAACAATTATGATCTAAAGGGTATCAAAATTTACAAGAAGAAAAAGCTTAATATTTATTGTTTACTTTATTAAACATTTCTTTCAATGTAAGTTGCTTCGTTCATGTGATAATACTTTCTCTTTAATTCTATTAAACAGACATAATTCTTGTTTAGTTACAAAGTTCCGCTGTTCAAGTCCTATAATTGCTGTGTTGAGAATACCGACTAATTTGTTAATCGAAATGTTTTCGTTTTCAATAACCTCTGGGTCACTTTCTTCACTATCGGAAGCGAATTATAATGACGAGGAACTTGATTTAAATCATATCAAAGACGGAGTACATCGAAATGAAATACTACACTTAGTACGGAATTATAAACCAAATAAAATAAAAACATCTGCCCTGAAGATAAGGATAGTGCTGACAGATCAACTTCCAATCCCCGTGTGAAATTGATAAACAGATTTCGGATTTCAAAACATACTTTCGCTTTGTAGATACAAATTACATATTAGTAAATATATATCGGAAATTCTATTTGACATAATCTTTCTAATCTATCATAATCTAATAATGACGTTTCTGCCCCCCCCCCCCCTGCCGCAGAGCAGCGTGAAATTGATAAACAGATTTCGGATTTCAAAACATACTTTCGCTTTGTAGTAAATATATATGGGAAATTCTATTTGATATAATCGAAAGTTCAAGCTTACTTTTATAAAATTGCTCTAACAGTCTGCAAAAAATAATAAGCCGGATCCATTTCGAAGATTAAGGAACAACGCAATCTGCAACATTAACTGAATTAGATAACTTCAGCTTAGCGTATAACTCCGTTACACATTAAACGCGCATGCGCACAAACATATTCGCAGCCGTAAGGGCCTTACGCGCTCTCGTAAACGCCTGTGCGCATGCG